CATTTCATTGCATTACATTGCATTGCATTGCATTGCATTACATTGCATTACATTACATTGCATTGCATTGCAGTACATTGCATTGCATTGCATTGCATTTCATTGCATTACATTGCATTACATTACTTTGCATTGCATTACATTGCATTGCAGTACATTGCATTGCATTGCATCGCATCGCATTGCATTAGATTGCCTTACATTGCATCGCATTGCATTACATTGCATTGCATTTCATTGCATTACATTGCATTACATTGCATTGCATTGCATTGCATTACATTGCATTACATTACATTACATTGCATTGCATTGCATTGCATTACAGTACATTGCCTTACATTGCATCGCATTGCATTGCATTACATTGCATTGCATTTCATTGCATTGCATTACATTGCATTGCATTGCATTTGATTGCCTTACATTGCATCGCATTGCATTGCATTACATTGCATTGCATTGCATTCCATTACATTGCATTGCATTGCATTACATTGCACTACATTACATTGCATTGCATTGCAGTACATTGCATTGCATTACATTGCATTGCATTGCATTACATTTCACTGCATTGCATTGCATTGCATCGCATTGCATTAGATTGCCTTACATTGCATCGCATTGCATTGCATCGCATTGCATTACATTGCATTGCATGGCATTACATTGCATTGCATTACATTTCACTGCATTGCATTGCATTGCATCGCATTGCATTGCATTAGATTGCATTACATTGCATCGCATTGCATTGCATTACATTGCATTGCATTGCATTCCATTACATTGCATTGCATTGCATTACATTGCACTACATTACATTGCATTGCATTGCAGTACATTGCATTGCACTACATTGCATTGCATTGCATTGCATTACATTTCACTGCATTGCATTGCATTGCATCGCATTGCATTAGATTGCCTTACATTGCATCGCATTGCATTACATTGCATTGCATTGCATTCCATTACATTGCATTGCATTGCATGGCATTACATTGCATTACATTACATTGCATTGCATTACATTTCACTGCATTGCATTGCATTGCATGACATTTCATTGCATTACATTGCACCTGTGCGGCGCAACCATGCACCTGTGCGGCGCAAACACTATCTGTATAATCATAGGGCCAAACTACTTGTTTCACCCGTATTTTCCGGGCCTCATGCAACAAAGCGGAAGCAGTATCTGGACAAGACTTTGGACAAACTTGGACACTTGGACACCTAAACGACTGATAAGAAAGGAATTCTGCAATAATAAGTAGAAACCAAAAATGACCTGAGAAAATACGATGTCCAAGCATGTCGAGCCATCGTATTTTCCCATATCTTTTTTGGACACCAACAATGCTCATTGCATAGGATACCTGAATTCAGGATACCTGAATCATATTCATAAGAAAAGGGTCGAACGCCTAAAGGTGCGAAGCAACGAAGCATATTTCTGCCAATTTGGTTTGATTCATTGCCGATCCTAGGCTCTCTTTAGGATGCCATTTACGGTTTCATTCAAAGTTTCGTTCGGCTTTCATTTATGGTTTCTTTAACCAATTTATGATTTCTTTATGTACGGGTTTCTTAGCAGCAATTCTTTAGGGTTTCTTTGGGTTTCACCTAGGGTCTTTAAAATTTCATTTCGGATACAAACAAGAGAGAATAAAACAAAAGAATTAGGGTTTCATGTAGGGATTCTCTGGAGATTTACATCTCTTAAGGGTTTTATGTCGGGTTTCTTTTGGGTTTCTGTCGGGTTTCATGTAGGGTTTGATTTAGGGATTCTTTCAGGTTTCATTTAGGGTTTAATTTAGGGTTTTGTGTAGGATTTCTTATCAGAAAATTTTGTCAAGGTTTTCAAACATTCATGTGGGTTTCTTGAAAGTTTCTTTAGAGTTTCATTTAGGATTTCATTCATGAGGGGTCAAAAAAACACCGGGGGGGGGTCAAAAAAACAAGGTGGGGGATTAAAAAAAAAAACAGGGCCCCCTATACTTTGATAAAATATCATGCACCTGTGCGGCGCAACCATGCACCTGTGCGGCGCAACACTAGCTGTATAATAATAGGGCCAAAAATATCGTGTATATAATATATATATATATGTATATCTAACTATTATACAGTTACTTAGATCCATGAACCCATAAAACCATAGGATCATAATATTAACATGCACCCAAATGAAAAACCCATTTACAAATGAAAATTCAAACCTATCAAATATATTTCACAACAATAAACATAGGAAAAAGGTCGAAAGCCTCAAGGTGCGAAGCACCGAAGAGTTTTTAGGCCAATTTGGTTTGCATTCTTCCGGGGTCGGCGGCAGGGGCGGCAGCCCTTAAATAATATGGATATTGAATGGGAATATAACTGGAAATATGTTGATGAATCATGTGGGAACCCTACTGCCATCAACCTACCATTTGGGGATGGTTTATATCATCCATTTACGTCACAATCGAATCATAAGCAGGCACGGATCAACTGTCAAGCTGAAACTGCCAAAGCTTCATCCATGGTGATTTTGGGATGGTTTATACCATCCATTTAATCTGGGATTAATATGGCAGTGGGTCAATACCTATTAATACCATTTTTAGTGGGATGAACATCCATTTACCAGCTATTTTGATGTGAACTACAGGGGTACAAGGTTTTGACACACTGCCATATGACAAATGATGATTCAATGGAGGATGAGTAGAAATTAATGATGATCGGGATTAATCATGATTAATGTTGGTTAATGATGATTAATGTGGGAACCCCTGGCTGCCATAAACAACTACCATGGAAGGGGATAGTTTCAATTCGGACGGTTTATTTATATATATATTTACCATCCATAAAAATAGTGATGACTTGCGGATGGTTTATGGCATTGGGTTTACCACGTTAATGGTGGCTCAAGGGGATTAGTGGGAATCAATGATGATTGGGATTCATGATGATGAATGAGGATTTACCCATGGACAGTTCTCTATGGAAAAATCAACACTTTTGATTGATTCAAAGATCATCGAAGTGAATGGGCGATGGCCTCAATAGCGGCTATGCGGCTATACGAAATTACTGGAGGGCAAATGTTCTTGAATGGTACGGTATTTTGTATTATGTTGTTGTCAAGAGTGGTTGGTAAAGCCTGTTCTTATCCATGATCCACCAATTCTGAAGTGGGTCACTGGATATTCATCTTTCATCCCAACCAGCTCCAGGAGGCCAAAAATTGTGAGGCGGAAAGGTCGACGGTCTTTGGGAAAAACCATGGAAAATCGTTACTATCAAAGATACAACATGATATAACCATTGTTCCGCTCAGATTGCGTGCCCAAAAAATTGTTTCTTCAGGGTAGGCGAAAAAAACAACATGCAATGGGCCCCCAAACTAAACATCAACCGGTGTTGAACGCAGCCTCTGCTCAAGTGAACAGTGTTCAAAACCCTCTCATCTTCCTTGCAAAACTGGTTGGATAAAAACGGGATTCCCCATTCATGGATTGTAATGCCCAATGGTCAGTGTTATCCCCAGTCTCAACCAACCATCAGTTATACAGTTATACCGGCTAATCAATCCCCAAAGTTTGATACTTAAAATGGCCATTACCATCTGGTTATTTAACATAGCCATGGAAAATCACTATTTTTAATAGGTAAACCATCTATAAATGGGCCATCTATACCATGGCTATGTTAGTCATAACCAGAGGGTAAATTAAATGACGAGAAAATCATCCACCAATGGAGGTAGAGAAAGCAGCCACTGCGGAAAACCGGATCGAGTTGGCCTGATTCAGCGCCAGAAGGAAAGTCTGGCAAATGTCGGCCTGGAAAAATTGCTCCGTTGTGGAGACAACGAGACAACGGGCCCCAGTAAATGGGGCATCATGTCCATCATATCTCCCAAAATATGGTATTTCATAGGCTTTGATCCATAGCCATATCCATATCCATCTATCTAAATGTCCAAATAGAGGTGCTGCAGCTACCATCACTTGGGTGTTGGATTATGACCTTCACAAGCGCCATAGTTCTTTCGCAGCTCCCACAATGCTTGGCAGACTGCGGGTCTCGAGTCAAGACTCACTAGATAGCTAAAAAAAAATGCAGTACCACATTGCTCGGCTTGTGACAGCTTGTGGCTCTCTGAAGATTCCAAAAACGAGCCCAAACAGGGCGCTCTGTCACTAAGATAAGCCAAATAAGCGTAATTCTTTGCTGTTGACAGACAGTGGTAACTCCAACTTGACCATCTGTAGAGTTTGGATGATCACGCGTCAACAGGCCTGTTGAACCACTGTCAAAATCAGCAAGGGAAGCCCTCTTTGAAAACAAATCCGTGTGTCTGAAAATATCTAGTACCCTCTGGTAATTTAACATAGCTACTGAAAATGACCATAGAAATAGTGGATTTTCCCATTGAAAATGGTGATCCTCCATAGTTATGTAAACGTTTACCAGAGGGTACCCCACATGTTGATGGTTGATGATTGGTACCCCTGCTATTTTCGTGGCCATTTTTGGCTGGTTAAGTCCCCAATTGTTCAGACACATCAGACACACGCAAAACAGATGGCGTTTTCAACGCCGATCCAATCACGGTCCAGGCGTTTATTGTACACTGGTGCATCAATATAGCTGGTACTTATAGATGTGCATCCCCAAATTCACATACCGATATGATATGTATATACAAATGTACACTCATACACATGAAAAATATTCATTTTTTTATCAATACCCACAGTTCAGCTGGTGTCAAACCCTTCGGCATCGAGTAAAGTCACCTCAATGACTTCTCTGCACCTCTGGCATGGCGAGAGCGCATGGATTCTCCAGTTGCTCGCAATTTCTCCATGCGGCACATGCTGGGAATCTATGGAAAAACACCATGTTTTTATTTTTTTTTAATGGGTAAATCAACTATTTCTATGGCCATGTTCAATATCTAAGTCTAAGATAGTCTAAGTTGATGTGATTGATGACCTCAACCTCTCGATGATCCCAGACACCAAGCCACATATTGCCTGTGGCACATTAGCCAAAAAAGGCCGCCTTTTCTTGGCGACCAGCAACGGTGGGGGTCAGCCACTCGCTTTGTCACATAATTCCCAACTTCATTGTCCAATCCTCGATCATCCACGGCACGTTGATAAAAGGCTGGAAGATTAGTTCCATGAGAAATGAACTTCATCTTGTCTTGCAATGGCGTATGTGTGCGAAACTGTTGGAAATCGGCTCAAAAAAATTGTGCAACCATGTACACTCGTGGAAATCGCGTGCTGCGTGGTTTCGTGATGCTGTTTTGCCGGGGCCCTCAACAGCGCATGCACATTCAAGAATTAGATTTATCCAACCATGGCATCATATGGCATCCATGGCGTATAAGCCCCAATATATCCAATATATTGCCATGTTCACGGAAAAATGGATTTCTCCACGATGGAATTTGGAGGGTTTAATGGCCATATCTCCAGCTCTGGGGGCGATTTTTGGTGCAACTGTTTATGGCGATGATGGATCTCTGGCATATGTTCACACCAAGATACCCGGTAGGTGTCATCCCAAAAACTACACCGTCCTGATAGACAAAAAAAAATACGCATCCCCATATTGGATCCATCGAGCCTTTTTGGTTGGCCAGTGGTTGGCTGAAATCAGCTTCGACATCCTGCCAAGTGGCCAGGAACTCCTCAAAGCTTATACCATCACCTGGAAAATCGCAAGAAAGCGTTACTTTCCACAACAAGCTGCTGCTCAGGAGGTTCCCCCTCTATACAGCTAATTCCTTGTCACTGACGGTTTATGAAAGGATTCCTTTCATTTGGGGTGTTTTTTTGGGACTTGGGGTGCCAAAGGTGTCTTCAAATCATCCTGGAAACAACAATGTTAGTTCTGCATGTGCTCAAAAATGTTTTGACCATCCATTTGGCTTTCTTTGAAAATATGGTACCCCCAAATTGGATTGTTAATCAATGTTAATCATTCTATATTTCCCTATTCAAACTGCCATTTGATGTTTATACGGGGTGGGTCCTAAAATGGGAGTACCCCTAAATCATCCATTTTAAATCATTTTAAATCAGGATGTTCCATTCGCCATCGATTTTTTCATAGGATCCCGCTATGGAAAACCCTTCGGGCAAGCGGCCACTGGCCGTCGCACCAACCGCTTCAATCCAATAGCGGTCCAACTGCTGTTGAGAGATGTTCTCCTGGTAGGCGATAGACCGGAAATAGATTGGTGATTTCAATGAAAAATTCCAGGATCCTGAAATATAGGCCAAAAATATATGGTAGGTACCTCCAATAAATCGGTTCCTGAAATGGCCATTGATGATTATCTAAGTGTTTACACATATCATATCGATGGATATTGAACATAGAACATATCATATCTAGGGATATAGTAGAATAAAACACTCCAAAACAGACCCACGGACCAAACAATAGTCGTTGACTTAAGGCTATAATAGCACGATGGTCGTAGGTCTACGATAGGGTATATTTTTCCATATCATCTCTGATGATTTTACGAGAACCTCGAGAACGTGGCTTCAGTTGGATCTGGTTAAATATATTACCCTCTGGTAAATTAACATAGACCCTGGCAGATAGGGGTTGGAAGACTAGTTTCCATTAAAAATGGGTGTTGTTCAGGGTCTATGTTAATTTACTGGAGGGTATATATTGCATCTCTGTCTCGGTAAAACAAGCATCTCAGCCAAGATACACTCTTCACCTTCATCAGGTTGCAAACTACATCACGAAACCTCAGGCTTCACCGCTGAAGAGGCCCTTCACTCCAGGAGAGCCCCAGGTCTGCCGGCTATTGCTATGTTACCCCATCTATAGCAAGGTGAGCTCACCGTGTTTCTCGTTGGCTTCAATGCCAAGGTTGTCTGAAAATGGGGGCGGGATACCCCATTTTAGTCGTGGCCATGTTCATGGAAACAATTAAATAAAAAAAAACGACCCAAGCATGTTTATAGTGAAACCAATAGTGCGTTATATTGCGTTTGTCTGAAAATTAGGCATTTATTCCAAAATGTCATGGTTTGTCATCATGTTCCTTTCAAAAAAATCACCAATTTTGGGGTTAAATCCCCCAATTTCAGACCAACCCATGGTGAGCTACAGCACTAGGGGCCTCTGAGGTTCCGAACTCGTTGCGGTCAATTTGCCCGCTGCCATCCCGGTCGTACTTGTCGAAGCTGCGCTTGATTGAATCGATCTGCAGGACAGATGAATCTGTGGTTGATGAACAACAGGAAATCTGCGGGAGAAAGTTGTTTTACATGGTTTTACATGGTTTACATGGGGTTTAGATATGTTTAGATGGTGTTGCATGGGGGTTACATGGATTTCGTTGCAACAGCCAGAAGTGACCGTAGGGGGTTCCTTTTTGATGTTCCCGCGGATTCCCGCGGGCCAACTCTGAAGCAAGTTGCAATGTGCAAATTATGGGTCGCCTGGAAGACTGTCGATCCATTCTTGTTTTACTCACAACAAGTGGGATCTAAATGGATAGATGGATGTTACCATAGAGCTATGGATTCATGGATGGATAGATAGATGGATGGATATGTTGTCATTGTTATATGATGTTATTTGTTATCATAGTTAATTAAATAATGTTAAAATATGTTAAATATATCTAAATGGATATGTTATCATAGTTATAACTTCGATAAATTGCTTCTTTACCGATCGTAACTCACTGAAGCGCAACAGCTTCAGTAGCGCTTAACGTGAGACATTTTTGTTCGGTCGCCTCGGGCAAGTTCAAGCCATACTTTCCTGGGTCGAGGATGTGCTTTTTGGGGGATGGAGGTGGGTGTGTAACGAAATCATTCATGGGGTCATTCTGATCAATGTGGCTTTGTTTGAAATTTGAGGCTTAGGATGAATCTTGATGATCTTCCCGGCTTCAAAATTGAGCATTTGTTGGCCTATCGCCTATCCCGCTTTTTTGGACAAAAACCATATATATATAATATTGTACAAGTATTCCAAGCTACACTTCCGCAGTTGCCGGGCTGCCCCTTCCCATGTTTCTGCGATGGCTCTGGGGGATCTCACCCCCAAGGCCTGGCCATTTTAATATGATGCCAAGCAGCGAGCGATGCGCCTCAGCCTTGGGGTTACAGCTAGCGACAGCGGCTAGATGAGGGGGCTCCAAAAATGGCCGTTGAACAAAAACTCGGCATGGATGATCTTGGGTAGGATTCTCGAGTGTAACCTGACTGGGTACCACCCTGCCGTAGCCCTTGGCTTGAAGCAATCATATTCACCAGATTCAAGTTCCCCTGTCTTGCATCATCGGCGAGTGGCTCACGCTCACTATGACTTGGGACTGCGAACTCCTCGCACGGCCAAAGGAGACGGTGCGGCACATGCAATATGGCTATGGGACGGGGCAAACATGTTTTCAAAAATATTGTTGTTCACGCAAAAAGAGCTGGTATGGATGTTCATGAAACTATGGTTGCGGGTGAAAATTGCGGCAACAATGGACTCACAAAGTTTCTCATGTTTAGTATTGAACCAGCCATGTTTGGGAGATCAATAGCTTTGACCGATCCTCATATGAGCCATGCTCTAAACCCGAAATGTCATTCCATGTAGTCCTGGTGGGTTAAGAACAGGACTTATGCTAGATTATCTATATTGAATTGGTTTATAAACCGCATATGATAATCTCCAAGACATCAGTTGGATCTCCAGTGAAAATCATCGATTTTGATCCACCAAAACTGCAGTTGAGACCGTCTCCTCAAGCCACAAAGTATTTCGAGACCAGAGGAGATACTCCTCAGGACGCGCGGCCGTGTCTGAACGCGCTTAGTATACGCGAACCCATGGCCATATTTATAGGGAAAATGATGATAAAGCAAAGGCTTTAAGGTTCAGGCATACACCCTATTTTCAGAGAAACCCAGATTGTTTGTGGAGACTTTGACGTCAAAAGCCTCAATAAACGGATATAAACGGGGTCCAATTCTAGAACAGAACGATGCTTCAGGGCTGAAATGTCTTCGCATTCTCTTGTCAACTCGGAGTCCAAGTCGACTTGAAACGGGGCTCACCAATTCTAGGCCCACCCTCCACCTACATCGTAGATGATCGTAGTAACGTAGTACGAGTCCAGTCCGTCTTTCAATGCTCTCAACTGCTGCCAGGACGGTCGTCCTCAAAGTCTATCAGGCCTCGTGGCGAGCACTTTTCACTGGCAAAAAAGAAACCGAAAGGTGGGATCACAAAATTGTGGCGAAGTTGTGATCCAAAAAGGTCCTCTTTTTTGCGCCCATGGGGCCCATGGGTGCCATGCCCAAGGCCAGTCTTCGGCAGCCGCACCACACTTCTGGGTTTCCGGCCGTTGTCATCTTTATCTGCTGATGCATATTGCCTCGGCGAGTTGATCTTTCGGTCAGAACGACATCGCGGTGAGCACTGGCTGAGCGCTGCTGATCCTCCAAGCTTCATAGCTACTTGGTTAGAGAATCAGGATATCTCCTTATATATTCTCATTAATACTATATCATATATACTATATCATATATATATACATATTATGATGATTATTATTCTTTAAAAAAACATCTACGTAGAAACTCCCACATTCTCCGACCCCAAGCCCGGTTGGTGGCCCAAGCTCCAAAAAACGCAGTCGCTTCCAGCTCCCATCCAAGTTGCTTCAGCAGCAGGTAATCGGGCACCTGGCGACCATTCGGTGACCATTGGTGACCCGTGTGGTGAAATAATCCCACCAGTTGATGGTTAATGATGATGGTTAATGATGATGGTTAATGATGGTTAATAATACTCTGGTTATGACTAACAGTTTGCTATTGAAAATGGCCATAGAAATAGTGAGTTTTCCCATTAAAAATGGTGATTGTAAGCTGTTGGTCCAGGTTTGTTGGACCAACAGAATTTCTTGAACACTAAATACCCTCTGGTAATTTAACATAGCCATTGAACATGGCCATTTACAGTGAGTTTTCCCATTAAAAATGGTGATTTTCCATAGTTTTTTGTATGTTTACCAGAGGGTATCTTGAAATATATCTGGTTGGTGGTTGAAACAACCATCTTGAAAAATATATGAGTTCATCAGGTGGGAAGGATTATTCCCAATATATGATGGAAAATAAAAAATGTTTGAAACCACCAACCAGATACATACCCTCTGCTTATTGAACAGTTTGCCATGGAAAATCACCATGCTATCAATAGGTAAACCATCTATAAATGGACCATTTTCCATGGCTATGTTAGATAACCAGAGGGTATGTTTTATAGATGTTTAAACAAAACAAATCATAGTCATAAAATGTCATAAATACAATTGAACTCATTAGACGTGAATAGTTTTGACAAAAACAACAAAACATCGCTTGCTACTCATGCGTGCTGAACCAAGTGTCCTGGTACCTAAGTTCAGTCGCATACGGATTGGTCCCACAGATCAAACAGTGAATGAGGTGTACGAAGTATATTATATATATAGGGTAGGTGTTCTATACCCCATTCTTGAAGAAATCCAAATGTGTACATTTTTTTCTTAAGATACATGATACATTGAACAAGTTTGTCTCTGGAGCTTTCACACAACTGACCCGTGTTTCTAGCTGACACGATGGAACCAACTTGGTACCCTGTGTCTTCAAAAAGTCCATCTGTCACCATTTCAGGAGCTTCAGGAAGCCACATTGGAGGACCTAAGATATGTCATGATATGTCAGATATTGTGCGAAGCCCAATTGCAAAAACCATCCCCCAGATGGGAGATGTTTATGGCATTGGCACCTCCATTCATCCAAATAAATTTATCTGCAAAATTCCATGGGATTCCATCTGTGGGTGAATCATCAAATTCTCCCTATCAAAATGTATAAAAACAAATTCAACTGGCCAGATATGGAAAGTATACAACCCATGTGGGCGGGTTCCTAAGTTTCCTAAGTCATAGGGGCACCCCCAAATCATCCAAGTCATGACATTCATGACCGTTTATCTTGACATTGAAACACCCATGGTGACGACTGATCCGACTGGGGATCGAAAAAAAAAAAACGCGACCAAGGCTCTGGGCGATCCGCCGGGATGTTGGCTTTCGGTCGCACTGCAGCCTCCCACTCCTGTGAAAATTGGATATACTTCTATGTATATATATATAATGTATATAATATATATATATACATATAATATAAATATATATAATATATAATATATATAATATATAATATATATATATATAGTATAATATAATATATATAATATAATATGATATAATATAATATAATATAGTATAATATAATATAATATTATATTATATAATATAGTATAATATAATATTATATTATATTATATTGTATTATATTATATTATATTATGTTATATATATATTGCTATATAATGTACTGCGTTTAAACATGTTTAAACAACAAAATGATGATCAACTATGAAGCACCACTTTGGGGGCTATTTTCAGAGCCATTTGGAGGGGACTTGTGGTGAAGCGGAGCTGGAGAGGCCCAGCTAAGGCGCCGTCCTTCTGCGTGAGCTCTCCGAAAGGTCCCGAACCATCCAGGGCACTGAACTCTGCAAGCTGCATTCGAACCTCCGGTGGTGTCATTGTTATGTCAACTCACACCGAACTAACACCTAAAATACGGCCATTGAGATGAGGAAAATGTGGCTAGAACCAATTCGATGGCTAAAATGTAGTCTCCCCATGGGGCTACAATGCTATATATGCTATGGCCATTGAGATCGGGAAAGGCCATTTAGATATATTTAGATGGGCTAATTGATATGGCAGTGTGTCAAAACCTTGTACCCCTGTAGTTCACATCAAAATAGCTGGTAAATGGATGGTCATCCCCCTAAAAATGGTAATAATAGGTATTGATCCATAGCCATATCGATAGACCATGGGATCAACAAAACCCAGAGACCCTGACTCGATAGACCGCGCACCTCTGCGATCGGAACCTTATGCTTTCTGGAGAGCTGTAGGCACCTTACAGCAGATCGCCCCGCAAACGAACTCCGTTGGGATTTCCGGAGATCACTGGAGGTCCTCCACAGGATTTAGTGACTACCCTCTGGTAAACATACAAAAAACTATGGAAAATCACCATTTTTAATGGGAAAACTCACTATAAATGGCCATGTTCAATAGCTATGTTAAATTACCAGAGGGTATTTAGTGTTCAAGAAATTCTGTTGGTCCAACAAACCTGGACCAACAGCTTACAATCACTTGCAAGATCTTGCAAGACTAGCCTTCAGTAATTTGACAGATATAGGATGTTATAGTTATGGAAAATGGTCCACTTATAGTTTAATTTTCTTAGCTATGATCGCTACGAATGACCATTTTCCATAGCAAAACTGCTATAGCGCACAGCGGCAAGGCGCTTCCGAGCTCCCCACATTTCCCAGGACTGGGTCGAGCGAGGAGAATCCTGACGTCTCGCCGCACTCCGCACGTTCTACACACATGTTCTAAGGATATTCCAAAAAAAACAACCAAAAAATACTGTGGATGGTGGAATAACCCCAATCACCAGTTGATGGTTTATCTCGGGAGTTTATCCCATGATAGTTTCGTGGCGTTTCATATGAATCCCATCCCAGCAGCGCTTGCGACAGGGCTCCTGCGGGCTCGAAGTTTGCCCATCGTGCGAGTCATCCTCAGAACCTCAGTCCAAGGTATGGTGATCGCTGTGGTTTCCTACGTCATGGGGCTACAGAAATAGTTGGACGGTTGCTGGATGTTCTCCATCTATAAATGGATGATTTGGGGGTACCATAGCGATTTGATGCTTTCCGAAATTATGGTGGTATCCCTAAATCATCCGAGTCATGAATAACCATGACTTGGTATTGAACCCCATGGTGGCTTGGGGATCCTTCATGGCTTAAGAACCCCCCAAATAACCGAGTAAATTATCCCGTTTAAGGCTATCTAGTGAACCCCAAATAGCTGGCATTTGAGTGTTCATTCCACTAAAATTGATACAGGGAAACGACAATGTCACGCCTAAGTCATGCCTAGCGTGTTTTTGAATGGCGTTTACCATTGTAAACGCTGCATCCAAGAAGTCATGCCTAAGTCATGCCTAAATGCTTTTCTGAATGGAACGCTGTCCTCAATAAAAGTGTAAACACGCATTTCAGACATTTAAAATGAAACACAATGGAACGCGACTGGTGAAAATATTGCTTTTCTACTCTCTTATAATGTCATTCTCGTGTGCAACCTGCATGTCAACGCTGATTCTGCATCATTATTTTGTACTACAAAGCTTGCACAAAGTCCTTCCCAGTACTTCCGGAATTAACGACGCGACGACGACGTGACGCCGACCCGACGACGACGCGACGAGCCACTCGAGGCGAACAAGGGTCCAGCCCCCAGACCCCCAGACTATAAACGGGAACCCTTCGCGACGCATTCGGGAAAAACAAGATAATCTGGGATGAACATCCAAAATCATCAAATCACCAGCTCAACGCCATCTTACCTATAACTAATCAACATCCCCACAACCTGGAATTCTGCATGCTAATAGTGATCAGCTACGTGATCTCATAAGAAAACGGGTTACACATCCAAACTCCAGAGTTCCTATGCGTTCTTGCTAAAGGCACGACTTTTGCGAAACACACTTCCCCAAGGCACAACGTTTTTTTCCTAAAACAGGTACGACTTTGTCAGATGCCTGTAGCAATGGGTTGTGACGCAACCCCAATAACTTATATATTTTCCTGGGTTGTAATATGGTATAAGCCCATCTACGAACCACAAACACGAAAAATCGGATGATCCTCCAGGTAATCCTTTCGTTCATAGTAAACGGGCCCCCAGTATGAACCATGGTGGATGTATGGGATAAAATCACATATGACTCGACATCACCGAGATACTACTGGCAGAGTGTTCCGCCGGTATTTTGCTCCCCTTCAACAGGGCCTCAGGGGACGGTTTCCGAGAACCGGAAGCGAAGTGATGAAAAAACCAGAAACAGCCATGGTGGTTTCCCTAAACAAGCAGTTGTTGTGTCAACAAATCTTCACTATCCAGTGGGAGACAACCATTTACAGAATTTCTGCTTGTTAGATGGGTCCGGTTGATAATTCTTGATTCTCACTCTTCGTGGATTATTAGATGTGAAGACCTGCTGGTTGATGTTGCATCCCATGATGTGTCCATAATTCTCTTTAATCTTTCTAGTAACAGGTACCCTCTGGTAATTTAACATAGCTATTGAAAATGACCATAGAAATAGTTGATGTACCCATTAAAAATGGTGATGTTCCATAGTTATCCATAGTTTTTTGTATGTTTACCAGAGCGTAGACCATGGTAGACCTCACACGAACACGAAGCGACGCGGCTCACCAGGTTGAATCCTGGCCTGGATATCGATGGATTGAATCTGTAAGCCGCCTTGCCGCCTGCGAGATGCGCCAGATGCGCGTTGGCGAAGACGGAAATGGCAAATCCACCAGCTGTAGATGAAGATGCTCTTTCTGGCCAAATATATTTCAATATATTCCCGTCAAAATCCTTTACATCTGAGTAGTTGCTATTGTTTTGGTTATCGCTTTTGGGGGAGGCCTATCGCTTTCCAGGGTTTTGTGGAAATCAGCATATTCGAGATCCAACATGAAGCCAAAATCCATTCCTAAAGAGGCTCGGAAATGGATCGAGGAGTTGTTTGTTTTGTTGGTTTCAGGTGCTTCGGCAACACTTCATGTTCCCTTCATTTTGCATTCATTTGTATGCATCTTCCTTCATGTTCCTTTCATTTGCATGCATCTTCCTTTCATTGTGCAGTCACTTCCTTTCATTATCCTTTCATGTTCCTTTCATTTGTGTTCATGTCCATTCATGTTCCTTTCATATTCCTTTCATGTTGATTCCAATGTGCATTCATGTCCTTTTCATCTTCCTTTCATTTGCATGCATTTTCCTTTCATGTTGCATTCATGTTTGTTCATTTCTTTCTAAAGTTATGTAAATGGCTCTATGGCTTGGGCCAGGGGACCGAGTGCAACAAATGGTTATCGCTAAGTTATAGCTAAATAATCCCTCCAACGTATGACATTGTTCGAAGGAAACTTGCCACAAAAACGACAGAGAGAGAGAGAGAGAGAAAGAGAAAGAGAGAAAGAGAGAAAGAGAGAAAGAGAGAAAGAGAGAAAGAGAGAAAGAGAGAAAGAGAGAAAGAGAGAAAGAGAGCGAGCTGAATGCCAAATGGATGTGGTAATTGCAGGTACAAGTAACAGGGCACCACAGGTCGAATTTCCCTCATCGGTTTTGCCCGTTCTGTGACCGTGCACAACAGTATTTGCATTTTCCCATTAAAATTGCCATATATAAATGTGCGTATACGTTATACTCATACCCTATTTTCAGACACATCCCATTTCCATTATCTTTGGATTAAATCCCCACATTTGATAGTTAAATTCCTAATTCGGCTGATTACAATTCCATTAAAATCAAAATCCCATGAAATCCATTATAGAGGATGTGGGTCTGGTACCTCATTATAGAGGATTTCATGTGATTTATAATAATCAACTGGATTTATAATTATAATAAGTATTAATATCCATTAATCCCTATCAATGGTGATTAATGGATATTAATGGTGATATTAATAGGGATTAATAAGTCTCCAGTTGATGTGGGTCTGGTAAGTCTGGTACCCCATAAACCAGCCACCTGCGGGCAGCGCAGCGTTGCTCGAAACGCAGGAGCCGCGGTGACAGCATGGGTTTGACACCCGTCTCCTGCAGTATCTGTATCCACCGTGAGAGCGGCTTGAAAGTACCTTTGAACATGTTCCAATGGGAGAGGCCAACCTCAAGCCAGGTGACCAGGTGTAGAAAGATAGCAATTAGCTCAAGGGTTTCTTCCAACAAATGACGGCATTGTGACCTAGAATTGCTTTTATCAGTGAAAACGTCACTCTGCTTCTGTTCATAAACTGATGAGAAACGTATCCATAAATAGTCTTGCCCTGCAGGAACATGAGCCGAAAAAGAAATGAACGAGAGAATAAGTGTCTCTTCTTCAGTCTACCCCTCTGCATTGACGTACACAAGACATCAGTGATTGAACAAAACCGTCCTCAGGGGCTTCGGATTGAACCTGGCACAGGAAAACAACCTGTCAGCTCGGCTTGAAATAAATACGACCAAGCTCCGCATTAAATGTGGTGTCTCTATCCGTTCATTTTCACCCCATGCTTTATCATGTTCACCATTGAAATATTGAAATGCCATAAACAAAAAATTGGGGTTACACCCCATTTTGCGGGGAACAAACCCGCAGAAAACAAGATCACCAGAAGCTGGTGGAATGTCCCAAGAAGGCACAGCCTGGAGGCTTACAGCGGTTTCCTCCACCTGCCAACTGCGAATGGCTCAAAATTCTGGCCAAATGCGCCTAGTGCGATCATCTACATGGCTGTGACGCTTTTCTATGTGTTTCTCAATCCTCCCAAGGAAGTGGATTGTCTCAATCAAAAAACACAAGGAATTCAAAGGCGGTTCTTGGATTTTCTATACCAAAACCATGGATTTTCTCAGTTCAAAGCGGAAGCCTCAGCTCCATCGTTCTCTGGGAGGACAATCTTTGGCCCTGCCATCCCCAGCATTGGACCTCCATGATGTTGACCCTCTGATCAGTTGACAGGTTGCTGTGGAAAATAGCCCATTTACTATCATTTACTTTGATGATTTACCAAATTTATCTCAAAAAAGCTTGAAAATGGTGATTTTCCAGTTTGCGAACTGTTACAGTAGTCATTTCCAGAGGCTATGCTTAAAGAGACCAATCAGAAGTAATTATACGCAGGTCCAAACAGGAACCCAAATGCGTCCGTCCATTTTTCTGTGTGACATCCCCCATTTGATGGGTGAAGATACCCAATTATCTACAGATGAAAAAAATGATGAGGGGTTCAACATACAACCAGATAATCATTTTTATACTGGTTATACATCCCATTATAAACGAATTATAACCTCCATTATCTCTATTGTGAACTGGTTTTAAAATGGGGTAAATCTATCCCTATCTTGTGTATTTGTGGATTTGTACATATATCCCTATGTTCGATCCATGGATAAAATATGATAAAATGATTAGTATGATTCAATGATGGTTGCTCAAACTTTGGGCGCCCCAAGACTGTGGCTTCGAGCTGCCATCTGCCTGGAACATGTCGCTGCCGTGCTTCATGGCGACTGCGAAAACGTTGCGCCAATTCCCTGCATTGGGCCTGAGCATCGGCCACCGCGAGCCTGTCATGCGCAAACCACTCCTTCAGCTACATATGCTGTATATATATATACACAGTATCCATATGTATCCATGTGATACATAGATGGTGTATGTGTATATATAAACATATCCCTCCGGGGCGGACGTTCGCCCAAAGTTTCATGGGGATTCATGGGGTGTTTAGTTACGTTGTGATTTGTTCAGGATTTATTTCAGATTTGTTTAGGGTTTGCTTAGGGTTGGTTTAGATTTTCTTTAGGGATTATTTAGCGTGTGTTTAGTTAATTTTCGCGCTATTTAGGGTTGTTTTCGGGTTTGCTCACGGTTGTCTTAGGGCCCATTTAAGGTTATTTATGGTTGATTTAGGGTTGGTTTAGGGTTTGTTTGGGGGTTATTTAGGGTTATTTATGGTTAGGTGTGTTTGGTGTTCTTGCAAAGTCTTGCGGTTTTTGCAGGTTTCAGTTAACGGCTCGAAACACTGCAAATTGCAGAGGATATCTTTAAGATACGCTTCAAAAGGTAATTTTGGCACCGTCTTAGGTAAGCGCAAAAATGCCATGAGACGCAGGTAAAATCATTATTTTGCATACTCGCAGTGTGCGAAAAACACGCACGGAAAATTGCAGTCCCGCATGGAATTCCGTGCATTCCGGGCAAACGTCAGCCCCCTAGAGAAACATATTAGTATGTATGTTTCTAGAAGTCTGGAGGTACGAGTAGATGAGTTATATACATATATATATATATACTTGTGTGTGTACATATCTATGTGTGTATTATACGTCTATGATTGTATATGTATACTCATTATATTCATGTGCATTTAATGATTACGTTGATTACGTATACGAATCCCAATGAAACAAGTTGGCGTCACGCCTAACCATCAACCACCAGACAAACAAAGATTCATTGTTGCCTCGAGTGACAGCCGCGACGCTGAGTTCCCCGGCACTTCTCAGTTTGCGCATCTCCTGACCCATGGCTAGGTCAACATCCCCTATCAATGGCGGGTTTTAATGGGAAAATCATCCATAAATGCGCAAGTTTCGCAGGCCATGGTTCATTGCCGGTATTCTTTGGTCATCTTCATGGACAGAGGCATCGCAGGTCAGCAAGGATGTCCGATACGGATAAGTCAATGGAGTGGGAGATCCCAATATTCTCAGCGGGTCCACAGCATATCAGAAGCAGATGTTCCTCAGCTGAGGGGTTTGCTTTCTCTAAAAGCTGCTCCTCACAAGAGCAGCATATCGTTTCAAGCCAAGTACATCTCCGAGTCTTTCGACAGGCGAAGACATTCGAAGACTTGGAGCAAACCACCCCAACCCCTTCCCCCAAATGTTGCATGGCCTTTGGACGACTGGAATTCTTTCATGCAATGTTGAGAAAGATCACTTCCAGGGAATAAGCTTACTTACACAAGATATATGATACTCATACATACATATGTATATAATGCATACGTGTGTGTATATATATATATACTTGTGTGTATACATGTTTATGAATATATATATATGTATATATATATATATGTATGTATATATATATATGTATGTATATATATATATGTATGTATATATATATATGTATATATATATATATGTCTGTATGTGTGTATATGTGTACATATGTATATGTATATGTATATTATATATATATAGGTACATATATATAGTATATATATATATGTGTATATGTATATATACAGATATGCATATGCATATGCATATGCATATGTGTATGCATATGTATATGCATATGTATATGCATATACATATGTATATACATTGTACGTATGTATGTATGTATGTATGTCTGTCTGTCTGTCTGTATGTCTGTACGTCTGTATGTCTGTCTGTCTGTCTGTCCGTCTGTCTGTATGTATATATATATATACATATATATATATATACTGTATACATATGTACCAAAGCAGGCGATGGCCAAAATGAGATCTGAGATTTTCACGGCCAGCGGTGGCAGAACGGTACAGTACCACACAGAAACCATATGGGTTACCCTCTGTTAATTTAACATAGCTATTGAAAATGGCCATTTATAGTGGATTGTCCCATTAAAAATGGTGATTTTCCATAGTTATGTTAGTTTACCAGAGGGTACAGGCCCCCTGCACCAAACCATTGGTTCCCCATTAGCAGGTCCTTACGATAGTCCGCCATACGCCGATGAAGCTCTTCCTATCAGAATTCAGCGTGGCGATGCGAAGATCAAAAGGTCGGTGACTTTCTAAGCACTGGTGGGTTTTTTTTGACCTCACAACAAGTCTTCAAATAGTTGGAAAAATGAATATTAAAATGAAACATCATAGAAACATAATATTTTTTTAATTGCTATTTCACTGCCTTTCAATCATTTGAACGAAACATTTCAGCTTGGATGTAGGCATCCAACATCGCTATCCAACATCGCTGCAAGCCAGCCAGCCGCAGTTCCTTCCATGGCCTTCCCAGTTCCGAAACCATCAAGTCATGGAGTATCCTCTGGTGAGTCAGTAAAGTTACAATTTTCATGATCCCCATCATTAAATATATCAGTAAATATATCAGTAAATATATCAGTAAACATATATATATATTATATATCATGATAAAATGTGTTCATCATTTTCCCAGCAAAATTTCATGAAATCATCAGGATCAAGGGGATCATTTAACCATTTTGGGGAAAGATCACAGCAACGAAGTGCAGCTTCCCACGGCCAACCTGACGTAGGTGGAGTGCGACCACATGAGATCGAAACACCTCTGGCCGCAATCAACAAATCGCTCGCGAAAAATAAATAAATGGTTCGGACCTGGTTAACGGTTATGAATTGTCTTATATAAACAAGTATAAATTTATAAACATATATATAAACCAGTAATTCCTCTAACTCATATATAATGTTATATATATATGTGATATAGGTAGCCACTGATTGTGGTGACCCAACCATCCCATTGTTGGGCTCGGTTCGCTTGGCTGATGGTTTCGCGCCTGTGAAACTGGATCGACACCTGACACGGTACCCTCCGGTGTCAACATGGCAAATCCTGGAATGAAATGGGCATCTAAATGGATGAAAATATGGGAAAATATGGGAAAATCATCTATGATTGGGAAATTCCAGGATTAATCAACATTCAATCAACATTTCCCATCTAAATGGATCTAAATGGGAAAATCATCTATGATTGGGAAATGTTCCATATCTTCCATTGCCATGTTTGATTTGACCACCACGTTCAGGCAATTTCATGAAATGGGCGGTCCGATGCGGTCCGGTATTTCCTAAAAAAGATCACCCAACAAAACCAAACTAAAAACACATGGCTATGGATCAATACCTATATATTAATACCATTTTTTTCGGGGGTTATTCACATCCATCATAACCCAGCTATTTTGATGTGAACTCACCAGGGGTACTATTGGTTTTGACACACCAAACACATTGAAAAAATGCCGGACTCATGGCATCCAACAGGAATCGAAAGGCGCACCTGTCCAGCAGTCACTATCCTCAACCTCGGACTCAACGCTATGGGAAAATGGATGAAAATTTGGCCCATTTCGAAATGGGCCTTATTCTGGGGATAGAACTGGGGAGATCATGGGTTTTTTCATGGGGCCCCAATGGCTGAATGGAAAAAATATGAAAAAATGATGGTTCCCATGCCTTTTAAAATGGATGATAACTGGGGGTACCCCCATGACTTAGGAAACCACCATGACGCACCACCGGTTTCTGGTTATCAAACATTGCCCAGGCCATGCTGTGATGCCGAGGGCCATACGGGCCACCCGGAACACTTCGGTAAGGGGGGCGACCTGAACAGTGAATCATCAGTGAATCGTCAGTGAATCATGGTCCATCTAATCATCTGGAGGTTCAAGATGACCAACAAAATCCACAAGTACTAAGCTCTTGGGAGCTCTCCAAGTTCCAGATTCGGATGGTTTCAGATCTGGAAAAAAGGACCTCCAATTGAAAGACTTGACCCACAGCGAATGTGATATCGGGTTAACCAGCAGTGAAATGTGCAAAAAATCACCCAAATGGCAAAGTTGGATAGATGTGAAACTGCAGTTTTTGGACATGTCACCCAAAAAAATCGCTATAGATGTGTTCCAGAAAGTTCCACATCTTTCTTCGAAAAGAAGCCCCCAACCTGGCTGATAAAGGTAGGCTCGGAAGCTCTACCTGTACCTTCGGCTAGCCAAATGACCCTTTGAAAAAATCTGGGTATGGGTCGAATTTGAGTACCCCAATTATTGGATCTTTTTCGGCTTCTTTGCGAGCTAAGGAATCCGAATTGGACTGCGCGATAAACGTGAAACAAAAAAAAGAATTCTCCATGGCAAGAATGACAATTTGTGCCATTTTAGACCAGCAACAAAATCGGCAACAGAATCTGAGGTCCACCAGGCCTTTAATTTGGAACCATACCCATCTACCAAAATTGTTTGGAAAATCATGGTAGCCATCCTCAAAAATGGCATTGCTTTTGACCCTCGGAATGGTTAAGAATCATCTGGGAATCATTTTGGAAAATCTGGGAATCAGTTTCATAAAATGTCAAAATATGTTGGAAAAAAAAAAAACACAAGCATGTTCAATTCATGTTCCAAATGGTGTTTACTGCATTTGATCACCAAAATAACATTGGGAAAGATTCACTAAGGAGAAAGGGAAGACTTTTTCATAGTCCAAAATATGTTGTTCATGAAATTCCATGGAAAATCCACAACTGGAAAGCTTCACCGTTTTCTGTTGTGATTGCTCCGAACCATTATTATGTTTCTGGGTTGGTTCACCAGTTCACCAGTGCTAATCTGAATTTGACCATCCCATCGTAAATCTCTGGCGAACTATCTGAAAATGGCCTACCCCCAGCCCAAACCTGTGGGATTTTTGAGGAAAGTGATGACGAACTCATTGGGAAAGTAGCTACCATGGGGTACCCCCATTGATCAACGCATCAGGCCCCGGCCGCTGTGGCCTGTTCTTTCGTAGTCGGCTTCGCACCTGCGCGCCAAACTACTCAATTTGATATTGGATTAGCCTCTGGTAAACTGCTCCATAACTATGGAAAATCACCATGTTCAATTGGTAAATCTACTATTTCTATGGCAATGTTCAATAGCTTTTTGTATGTTTACCAGGCCGGGTAGACATGTTTACAGGAAACCATCTGGCTGATGTTTTGAATGCACCTGAGCTGAGGCCATCTTGGGGCCCAGTTTCCCCGCATGACGGCCAGTGACGTGACTTTGATCATGGGGGTTCAACCCCCCACAACTGAGCTCAAGAAGCCATTATGAGCGGCTTTTGAGTGGCTAGTCCCTTGACAAACACTTATTGGGACGGTCACCATTTACCATCATTTACCCATTGTTTTGTCATTGTCCCATGGACTATCCATGGAAATATCCCTTTAAAAATGGTACCAGTAGAGTACCTTCTTGTTGAGAAGGTCAGAGAACGGAAGAGTGATGCCTTTCAGTTCTGTTTTTACTCTACGTTCACCCCGTTGACTATAGTTAAGTATATTCCCCATTGACCCAACCGTTGACCAAGTTATAAGTAGAACTGGGCTATATATATACTTATACATATATACATATATTGTGACAATCTCCAAGTTGATATATCTCCCTATCATCATCCAGCGATGTAACAGCCACTGCTCAACTGGGTTTACTGAGGCAGCTGACTTGAAGCTGCTTTCCTTCTCTCCATCCTGGCTAAACAAAAACACAAAACACCTCATATACAGCAATGGCAATATACGATATATCTAAAATATTCTAATATTGATATACATATATATATATATACATATATATATATACATATATATATATATACATATATATATATATATACATACATAATGATGTTTATATGGTTATATTTATAATTGTAGTTGAATGTGTGTGTGTGTATGTATATATATATATACACAATATACACCTACAGAAACTATAGAATAACTATACATTCTACAGCCGCGCCTTGGGAGGTTGCATTTCACCTGCCACGGCTGCAACGGCTGCCACGGCTGGGTTGTCATTCCGTAGTCATGATGCTATGACCTCCAAGATTTCCGTTTTTTGCTTCCATCTAACTTGGAACAAATGGCACAAACCATGGTTTTATGATGTTTTATGCATTTAGAATCTGTCGAGATATGCACATGTATCCGAGTCATGGATGAATGCAAATGATCCATGAATGCCCGTATACAAATACACAGGCATGCACGCACATCAACCCGAATTCCTTCACTGGCCAAGACTAGGAGTTGAAATCTGCAATCAAACCTATGGGCCAAAACGGGTCAAAACCCTGGTAGCCTGTTGACCCACAAAACAGCTGGGAGTTTTAGATCTTCATATATCTTCATTCCCCCCAAATATGGTATTCCAATGGTATTCCATAGCTTTTGATCCATCCTCAACGCCATCAACGCCTGGTAGATGTGCTTGGCTCGGGAGCGTCTCTTCCGCGGTCGTGAGAAGGTGATGAAGGTTTCCCCTGGACGATATCCATTGAATTATGGAAGTTTCCGAAAATGCTACACCTAGATCATCCATAGATCATCCATAGATCATCCATGTTTTTTCTGGATTTGCCATTATAAATGATCCAGCTAGTTGGGGTACCCCAGTATGGAAACCTCCTTATCAGTGATAGCATAGTCTTCATCAGGTTCTGAGAGGTCTGAGAGGTCACATAACTTGCATCAGCTGCCCAGGTTTGGTGTGTCTGAAAATGGTTGCGACAAAACCCCCCCAAAAAATGACCGTGTTCTTAGGAAAATCTTAGGGAAATGTTGTCGAAAGCCATGCAATGCCATGCAGCTTCTGGGCCGCCAGCCATCGATGGTGGTGAGCAGTAAAGACATGAAGCTTGAGAGGATTGAACAATCGCGCGTTGTGGGACAATCGTGTATGGCTTTGGGGGAAGTGGAAATTTAGACCATGGCCATTAAAAAAAAAGAGATTGAATCCAAAATGTCTTGCTGCTGTGCTGCATTGCTGTCTTGCTGCTGTGCTGCATTGCTGCGTTGCTAGACTTTGTTCATTGTCGTTTCCACCAACTTTGAGTCAATGAGCCAAATGGAGAAGGGAAAGACGTGAAACCGGCGACTTTCTCTCAGATTTGGACGTCGGTCAAATTTGGGATACTTATGGATACTTAAAAATGGGATGTTTTGCTGCTCAAAATATGATGAATTCTTTTGGTTCCCAAAGTTTGCGGGTTTCCAGTTGATGACATTACTTTTGGCACACGTGCAGGAACGACCAATGCTGACCCACCGCGCTAACTCTGCGGTGTTTGACCTTGTCCGACCTTGTTTCTCTGGAGTTACGTTTTGACAATGTGCTCAATACACTGGGAATGCATAAATGGCTATGGAATGATATGGTATGGGTCAAAATACCACTGGTATGCTTACCGAAAATGAACGAACATGACATTTAAAAAAAAATCTGGCTAGGGGTCACAATATCCCTAGCCAACATGGGATGATTATGTAATACTATACTATAAAATAAACATCTACTAAAAAAACACTGATTCCCATGGGCCTCATCCAAGGAGGACGGCAAAGGTGGCGGCTGCCTGAAGGTGGTGAGCGGCTGTCCAGTCTCGCTCCTTAAGGCGCCGGAGCATGGAAAAATGGCCAGGTAATTCCACCATTCTATGGGGGATTTTTGGGGAATTTACGGTGAGTTGATGGAATTTTAGTGAGAAAAATCCAGGGACCAATGGGCAACCGTGGTCTGAAAATTCCTGGGGATTTGAGCTGGCAAGCCCACGGCTCATAGGGCAGCAAATGATCAATTCGGGTCCGATCAGAAAAGGATCAAAAGCGTCAAAACAATTGGGATCAAACGGATGTGTACTCCACATGACCCAAATCTGCAGGTTGGTCAATCTCAAGCCACTTCAGCCACTTCATCAAACATACTTTCCCATGAAAAAAACGCAAAAAAAACATATAGAATAAGTCACAATCCCTTGGCCCCTGGCATGAAGCGAGATCGCAGGAAGTGTACCAGGCTTTCCGCCGCGCGATCCTTGTGCTCGGCCCTTGGCGATTCGGCTGGGAATTTCTGGGCGAGCAAGGACGCCCCTGGGGAAAGCTGGGAGCCGGGCAACACCTTTCCCAGCCAGTCACAGAGGTTCACCACATTCTGCGGCGACGATCTCAGTGTCTTTTAAGAAGATGAAAGATGATGAAAGAAAGCTGATTCTTGACCCCAGGGCCCCAGGGGTAAATGAATCAAGAGCAGGTGGAACTCTTAGCCCATGGGGCTTGCAATGGCTAACCTCAATTGTCATGGAGAGGCGTTTGCAACTGAATGTCTCAGGCAGACTTTGCAGAGGCATATGTCTTCACGAGGTTATGTGCAAATTACACTATAGTTCTCAGCTCAGAAATCAGCATAAATCAGCCCAAAAAATTGGATGCTTGCCCTACTCTTAACTATCACTTATGGATTTGTCTCCAACTAGGGTACCCCCCAATTCGATGAGCTTTATCACAGATTTACCATTTTGGGGGTACAAATGTCCCATCAAAGTATGATTTGATGGACACACCTCACGATTCAGTCGCTATCCAGCAAACCCTCAGTGTCACGTCCTCCTTGTTTGGCAGCGTTTGGGAAGCCAAAACGATGCGGCAAACCAGCTCCGATGGCGGTTCCTTCAGCAAATCTGCCTCACGAGTGTGACAACCGTTGACTTCGTTGACTTCGTTTGGGGGGCATGGTGATGTCGCAGTGAAAAATCCATGTCTATATAATGAGGAATTAACATAATTCATGAATAGATATCATATATATATATAACTATATAGGTATAATAACAATACCAAATTAGCATACGTGAGCAACAGTTTTCTGAATCTTGTGAGCTTCTTGCTTTCAAGATCTTCAAGTTACTGATATGGGAAGATATGGGCCTGTCTCAACATAAGGTACCCCAAAAATTGATGGTCTTACATGGTCTATCACCATTTCCCCTGCTAAAGTTGCCATAAATTGGTGTATATGTCCCTATTTTGAGACAAAACCATATGAAAGAATCTTTGGGTGCCACAACAGGATCTTGTCTTGTGATCGAACCTTTGCTGCGACTGGTCCCTGAGATCTTGACATAAAAAGTTTTCAGGTTTTCGTTCCTCAGTGAAACAAGCTGCACAGACACACACACACACACCAGTCTGTTCAAAAGATGTTTCCCATACTAAAATTCACTTTTCAGCGATTTTCGCGGTATCCCTCGTCTTCGGATGGACTTGGAACCAACAAGACAAGCACTCTAGGTTTCGTATAGGGCGCATAGAAAGATGAAAAAAAAACTATAGACTATAGATCTGTTCTGCTGACCTGGCTTGCACTTGGCATCAACTGTTGCTTGGTTGCAGACATTAACAGGTTCAGAATCTTCTGCAAGTTGTGGTGAGGATCCTGCTTTGGCAGTGCCAACAAACAGCGATTTTTTCGCGTGCTGCCCCACAGGGTATCCCATTCCCGCACAGGGTTCATTTGAAGCAACTGGGGATCCGCCCAACCAGGCAACCATGTGTTGGATCTCCAACCAACTGCTTTTCCCCAGACAAACCATGAAACGGTGAACATGTGTCGTCCACAGCACTGCATACTGCATGGCTCTAGCTGAGTCCTTGTCCAGCATCGCTCGCAGAAGCCTTGGAAAAAAGTCATCGGAACCATGGGTCTGCACAACCTCTTTGCGACTGGATTAACGCATTCCTCCACATACTGTCTACAAAAATCCAGCGAATGAAGCAAAGACTCAGCAATCTTGTTCCCCAAAAGTCAATGGATTGGTTACTGGGAAAATCTACAGGAAACCATAGTGTTTTCCATCAAATACATCATCCAATCACCCCCAAAAAACACAATTCCCGAAACCAAGAGTGTGGTCCATTTTCGAGTTCACAATCTCCAAAGGTTCAGAAGCATCACCCGTCTGGTTTTATCTACAGTAACATGTTCGAAATTCCTCAATGATGTATCGTCACTTTCCCCTCGAAAATATGACTTGAAGAAACCAATTTGATGGTCCCACCCAATATCACAATGTTCACTATCTCAAATGTATGTCCTTGTTGTATCCTTATAAACTGCCTGGTGTTATAGCCCAAATCATCCTCCAAGAAGGGCAGTCAACTCCCCCCATGGCCCACAACGGGTCGCCCGGACTTCTTGAGTCCCTTTGGCTGACGTTGAGCCAAGGCTACGGTCGCTAACAGCGCGTTGGGTCCTGGCGATTTGTTCAACTGGAGGGTTCCTAACATGGGGGTACCCTGGGGTACCCCAAATCATCCAAGTCATTAGACTCATTAGACCATTTTAGTATTGAAACCTATAGTGACTGGGGGATCCCCCATTTGAAGAAACCACCAACTGATCTGGCAAAACCAACAAAAACCATCCGCAATACCATAAATGGATGCTATAAACCCTCCGAAATTGGAGGTTTATTGTACATTGGATTTACCACATGAATAAACCAGCCCCAATTGGGGTTTCTTACTGGGTATACTCCTTGCAATAGAATGTAAAATGAACCCCAGGTGGTTGGTTAATGGGGTGTTGTATGTATCTCACAAATACCAATATATGAATATCAATACACATGTATATATATATCGTATATGATATATATATATATATCGTATAATAATATATATATATCGTATAATAATATATATATATATCGTATAATATATATATATATATATATCGTATAATATATATATATATATATACACCAACAGCCGTTTCTTTAAGTGAATAAGATGATGATAAAGCCATGATTTCAGCATGGGATTTTTATTGGGCTTATCCCATCATGCTTTTTCGGACCAGCGCCCAGTGGGATCTCGGGCCTCCGTTGGGTTCAAAAAGCGGTGGAGCCTTAGACGGTCGCACCGGACGCTGGGGGCTCCGGTATGGGGTTTGGTACAACGGTTGCGACCGGTCATTTTTCACATCACCCAACGAAAAAAACTGGTAAACTAACATAGCTATTGAACATGACCATAGAAATAGTGGATTTTCCTATTAATAGCATGGTGATTTTCCATAGTTATGTAAACGTTTACCAGAGGGTATATATCGGGAAAAAAAACATCTGATTTTCCATGATTTTCCACAAAAAAAACATCTGAAAAAATGGTCCCATCTGGATTGAGAAAACAGGCTAAGAGTGCATTTCCTGATTGAACATCACCCAACTGAAAAGGGAATAGAATCTCCAAGAAATACTTGGTGCTGTGTTTCACAAATCCCCAAACTGGGACATTTCCCAAGTTTCCCAAGCCCGAAAAAAATTCTGCGTATGCAGCACGTGTTTTTCCCACACAGCACTCGTCAGCTGCACCGGTAGCGGCACCGGTAGCTGGATCTGCAGCGTTGAACTGCTGAAGATGGTGTACAATGTGTACCCTATGGTTATTTAACATAGCCATGGGAAATGGCCCATTTATAGATGGTTTACCTATTAAAAATGGTGATTTTCCATGACTATGTTAAATAACCAGATGGTACATCTAAATATGGAGGTTTCCTAAAATGGAGAGTGCCCCAAAAAACCATCCAGCTATTAGATTGGGATTTTCCATGAAAGAAACCATCCAGCTATTGGGGTAAGGCCATTTATGGAAACCCCCATATGTCTAGAGAGTATGTGTCAAAATGATTGCTGCGACCCATCCTGGCAGAAGGCTTGGGTCTCTGAGTCATCGATTTCGAGGTGGTGGATAGTCACCTTCGCTGCTGACAATCTACCCTGCGGTCGTCAAACATGACTAGCTGGGAATCCATGATGAATGAGCCTTTCAATGGGACAATAATTTAAAGATTTGGATTTTGCAGTGCCATGTTTGATTACCAGAGGGTAACTCCCACAGCCCAAGAACTCTGAGCATCCCACAACAAGGAAATAGGTACTATAATTCCTATCATAACCAATCAACAGAGGTTTGGGTCACTGCTCGACTGCATTTTGCAACTTGTTCTCAGAGTTGAGTCGCAGCGAATCAAAACCACAGAGTACATATACACGTGCACCGTGTATATATAGATATGTATGTATGTACATCTATATATATATATATACGTACATACATAAAATTGCATTACATTACATTACGTTACGTTACGTTTAGGTTGCGTTGCGTTACGTACGTTGCGTTACGTTACGTTGCATTACATTACATTTACATTATATACATTACATCATATACATTACATTGTATTATATTACATTACATTACATTACATTATATTATATTATATCATATCATATCAATTACATTAGATTACTATATATGACATTACAATTACATTTACATTTATGTTTATATTTACATGTACATTACATTACATACCATAACATTACATTGCGTTACATTACGTTACGTGACATTACATTACATTGCATACCATACATTATATACCATTCATTTCATACCATACATTACATACGTTACATTACATACATTACATACGTTACATACATTATATTACATTACATTACATTACATTGCATTGCATTGCATTGCATTGCATTGAATCACATTACATTACATGACATGACATGACATGACATTACATACATACATACATTACATTACATTACATTACATTACATTACATTACATTACATTACATTACATACATACATTAGACGTGGGTCTTACAGACATACAAATCTATATATATATATATATGTATATATAATTATATATATATGTCTACCAACCCACCCATCGCACTCACCAACGCACCCACCACCGCACCCATCGTACCTACACATCGTACCCACCGTACCCACCACTGTACCAACCAACGCATTCATCGCACCCACCACCGCACCCATCGTACCCACACATCGCACCCACGTACCTTCACTGTGTACCCATGGTCCGCCCCCCTACGTTCATGACCTTTCAGAAACCATGCTTTCAGTGCCTCTACAATTTGATAAGTATATAGGTATACATACACTACATGGATATATGTATGCATATATATATAGAGAGAGAGAGAGCGGGAGATGTATATAGTATATACATACATATTTGTTTAGATTATGTGTTTCTCAACTTCGTTGTTTATCCATTTCATTTACCCATTCACCGCGGTTCAGGCTACATCCTTTTTTGGCAAGCAACCCATGGTCAGTTGCTTCTCCAGCTCCCTGGACAAACCAACCACAACAGCAGCCAGAATCGTTAGGACCGCACTGGACCACTTCAGCTCCAAAAGAGATGACGTTAAAAGCCTGAATGCGATAGGTCAAGGAAGACCCCCAGAGGCTGTGGAACGTCATGTGGAACACACTGACCCAAAAAAAGGTCTTACCCTCTGGTAATTTAACATAGCTATTGAAACTCACCGTGGTTAATAGGTATATCAAGTATGAATATAGCTATGTTAGTTTACCAGAGGGTAGCCGCTACTCTAAAGATGGGTGCAACCACCGTGGACAACCTGTCGGTCTAGGCCAGTTTTGGGTGGCAAAGCCACACTTTGAAAAACAGGTCAAGCTGGATCAGTTGTAAAAATGTGAGGATATCCCATCTCAATTGATGTATGTAGGTTGCAAGATGTGTGTATATGTGTGTATGTATGTTGCAAGATCTGTGTGTATATGTGTGTCTGTGTGTATGTATATTCAAATGTATACGCATATATACATGTATCTATCTATCTATCTATCTATCTATCTATCTATCTATCTATCTATCTATCTATCTATCTATCTATCTATCTATCTATCTATCTATCTATCTATCTATCTATCCTATCTATCTATCCTATCTATCCTATCTATCTATCTATCTATCTATCTATCTATCTATCTATCTATCTATCTATCTATCTAATCTATCTATCTAATCTATCTATCTATCTAATCTAATCTAATCTAATCTAATCTAATCTAATCTAATCTAATCTAATCTAATCTAATCTATCTATCTATCTATATATATACACATATGTATATGTATAGATATGCATATGTATATATATGCAGATTTTCAATCATCAACACGTTCATCTCCCACTTTTGGGGATATCTCGGATCAAGCACCCCTATCCATGCCTTAGAAGGAAAAGCAGGGCCGCTTAGAGCATTGGGCTTCGCACGGTAGCGGAGCCGGGTACCCCAGGAGTGGGGGAACCGGCAAGAAGATCCAGGGACAAAGAAGGAACTTTTCCAATTTCTCTGTAACTGATCTGTCAAGAGGGTAGCAAATACCAAAAGTATGACCGAGTTGAGATACAAAGAAGGCATACCCATATTTGATGGGTCAGCAGAGCAATATGTCGCCTACAGAAGGGCGGCACTCAACTACGTGGAGACCTTAGAGTGGAAGAAGAGACCGCTGGCAGGACCGAGACTGCAGGCGGTGTTGGAAGGCGCCGCAAAGGCGGCAGTCCAGCACAAGCCGCCAGGGTGGATTTCTCATGACAGGGGTGCTCAAGAGCTGCTGGACTACCTGAAAGGCCAGGTACAGCCACCAACACTGGCTGAGGCAGGTAAGACCATTAGCCGCTTCTTCTACCAGGTCAAGCGAAGGAAAGGTGAGACGATGAGTGCATGGATTGTGAGACATGATGAAGCTTTGTATGAAGCACGAAGGACACTGGCTGAGGCGATCCAGGAGTATGGCAAGGGATACTCTGGAAGCACCAGAACAGCCACTCGTTCTGAGCGTGGAGGACACAGCCATCAAGATCAACAATCTGAGCGCAGCCACAAGGCTCCTCAGGAGCTAGGGCCCTTCGATGAGAATGGCCGGCTTCGCGACAGCAATGAAGATGAGGAGACAGCCGAACATGACAGTCAGAACTGGTGGACCCAAAGTTCATGGTGGGGCTATCGATCTGGCTGGAGAGACTATGATCGATGGGAAGACCACGGATGGTGGCCTCCCATTACCAAGGAGAACCTGAACCATGCCGAGGTCTCAGTACAGGCATCGGAGGAAGCTGAGCGCTTCCTTCCAGACTTTGTGGTCGCATGGATGCTGCTGCAGCGTTCAGGTCTGGATGGATCAGAGAGAGCCACCATAGTGGCAAGCCTGAGGAATGACTTCAGCACAGACCGGGTCAAACAGGCATTGCGCCTGAACTGGACTGATGAGGATCTCAGGCGTCGAGATCAAAGTCGAGGTTCAGCACTCATGATGGACGAGGAAGAAGTCATGCTTCACGACGAGGAGCTGGTCGAAGCTCCCATCTGGATGACTGAGGAAGAGACCGAGGAATACAATCTCCTCTCCCACGAAGCTGAGGAAGCTCTAGCAGCCATCCAGGGAGCCAAGAGAACGCTCCGTGAGGCAAGGGAGAAGCAATCCATGATGAGGAAAAGTCGAAACTTCTACCCAGTGCGCCGTGAAAGTGTCACCAAGTGGAAAAGTGACCGACAATCCACTTCGGAGAAGCAATGTTTCCGATGTGGTGGGAAACATCCCACTGGCCAATGCCCCAAGAAGGAGCAAGGGTCACCAGCCAGTGGAAGCCAAGCCATCCACTTCACCTTCACGGCCACCGGCGGCAATGAGCCAGAGGCTACTCACCCAGGCACAAAGGGCCTGGGGATCAATGAAGCTGCAATGATGATGGACAATCTCCTGCAGAATGGCAAGGCCATCATTGATGGAGGAGCTACATCGACAGTGGGGAGCGTTGACGCGCTCGACAGAATCAGATCTATCAACTGGGACAAGGGCAAACGACAGGACATAACCATTGACAATCAGGAGCGGCCGAGCTTCCGATTTGGCAACAATGGCAAGACCACCTGTGTGTCAACTGCCCAGCTGAATGTACCTTTACATGGTGCCGACAGTACCATGCGTGTCCACGTTCATGAAGTTCCCAATCAACCAGTGCTTTTGAGCATTGCATCACTGCGCAAGCTTGGAGCAGTGATCGACTTCAATGAGGACAAAATGATTCTGAAAGCTGTCGACCCATGCCGTGTCATCAAGCTGGAGAGAACATCTAGCGGCCACCAAGTTTTTCCCCTCACTGAGGATGTGTACAGTTCAAGCACTTGCAGGCAACACGCCTTCAAGAGCTTATGCGAAAATGTCGAATAGGGAGATGACCCTCCAAGGATCAATGGAAAAGCTCAGCAGCCTTGGAGGGAAGTAGAGATGAGCAACGGTAGCAGCCAGGTTCATGTCCTTTTGGGAAACGAAAATCAAGAAAAGAAAGAACCCATTTGCGGACTTCAAGGAATCCTGAAAACCCCAAAGAAAAACAATCCTGCAGGAAACAAAACTAAACAAAAGGTTTCTTTTTCTATTTCTAAGCCTGCTTTTGAGCCACCAGTCACTGCGTCAGAACAAGGCACGGCATCGCAGCAAGACAAGGCAACTCAAGGATTCATCACCACCGAGTTTCCCTGCCATGCCGAACCTCACCAAGGAGCAGCTGGTGAACAAGATCAAGGAGTGGGGCGAGACGCCACCAGCCGAGTGGAAACACAAGCAACTCCTTGCCCGCTATGCCGAGCTCAAAGAGTTGGAACAGGAGAAGAACAAGAATGGTGCAGACAACCTCCTTACCGAGATGAGCAAAGCATCAAGGAAGAAGAGCACTCTGCAAGATTTCCTCCAGAACCGCCTGTCTATGACGATCACAGGCAACGAGACGATCTCTCGCCTCCTTGCCCTGGGCAACCAGAGGATCATGGAGAACACCGTGCCTCAAGACCACGATGTGATGGGGTTCGGGCAGTACTCCAACATGACCTATCAGGAGGTGAAGGATTATCACCCCAAGTACATCCAGTGGTGTCGCACCACGATGTCCGAAGAGGAGGTCAGCTGGCAGATGAGGCGCTTCATGAAGTGGGTGGATATGAAGAACAAGAGTCAGATCGCTGGCAGCAACCCAAAGACCAAATTCCAACCCGAGCTTCGCACGGACATCTCCAAGAAGCCCTACGGCGAGTCAACATCATCGATCGTCACCGAGGACTCATTCACGGAAGTGACATCAGTCTCCATGGAGTCCGAACCGGACGTCAATCACCACCTGACCGAGATCGAGAGCCAGATTCACGAGCTCCAACGGCAGCAAGCACTCCTTCGAAAACAGGGAGTGAAAGCGGTGAAGAAGGACGAGATCGAGAAGGCCTGAGCGAGGCTCCTGATTTGAAGCTGTCCCATGCACCAATTAGGTCCAATGAGCAACCTCTGAGCAATCGTCACAAGAAAGAAATTCAGTACGGTTTCGCTGTTGGTTTTGAAAAGGATTGGGCGAGTGTCGCCTATGGCAACAGGTTGAGGCTTCTTGAGGTTTGCTGCAGCGAAGACAGCGTTCTCTCTAGGACCTGTGAACAAATGTTTGGCTCAGGTAGTTCCCAGCGAATTTCAAAGTGGAATGGGGGAGACATCGAAACCAAAGCCGGTGTTGAGTATGTCAAATCTGTTATCAGTGATCGGCGTCCTGAGTTGGTGTGGATGAGTCCGGAATGTGGACCTTTTTCCCCCATGCAACATCTCAACATGAGAGATGATCGCCAACGTACGGCCCTCACTGAGAAACGACAGAAAGCCAAGAAACAGTATGAGTCTGTTTGTGAGATTGGTCGTCATGCTCATTCTATTGGTGTTCCGTTTGTCATTGAGCTTTCTGAAAGATGTGAGGGATGGAAGCTTCCAATGTTCACGTCTCTGCAACAAGACCTGCAGTGTTCCGCTGGAGTTTGCAAAGGATGCCAAGTCGGCCTCCGAAATGCATCTCAGGAACTCATGGGAAAGGGTTGGAGACTCATGGGAACGTGTAAGGGGCTTATCCAAAACATGACCCTCAAGTGTCAAGGGAACCACCAACATGGGAACTGTGAAGGGTCTAAGAACTGTCAATTGTCGGCGTTTTACACCCCACAATTTGCCAAAAGGGTCATGGAGTCTTTACAACGGGTGGACTTGTGTCACAACGTGGTTCGGGAATTGCAAGGAGGGATTTCTTTTGATGTTGAACTCAACAGTGTCAATCATGTCCATGCGGAACCTTGTCAACATGCGAATCATGACCATGACCACCATGTGTTTGCCATGTCCCCCGAAAGAAGAAGTACCATCATGCAATCACTCCGACGTATTCATGCGGCCACGGGTCATTGTAGCAATGAGTACTTAGTCAAGGCTTTAAGGAAAAGAAACGCTGATCAAGACACCATTGAGCTGGCCAAACAGTTCCGTTGTCCCAGTTGTGAAGAACAAAAGGGTCCTAACCCCCGAAACATGTCCAATTTGGAAGACATACCCCCCAAATGGTCAAGGGTTCAGATCGACGGCGGCACGTGGAATCACCCTGAAACCAAGGAACCATTTCATTTCATGTTGGGGATTGATGAGGGGAGTAAATTTCGAATGGGGATGATCCTTAAACCTGGGAAAAAGATTAGCCTTTCGGGGGATGACATGATCACTTTTGTTGAAGAGAGATGGAAACCAATTTTTGGGAAACCTGCTGTTATCAGAATGGATCCTGCCGGGGGTTTCAGAAGTGAAGCGGTTAATCAGCATTTTGCTGAACAAAAGGTTTTGATTGAGCACATTCCGGGGGAGTCGCACTGGCAAATTTCTGCTGTTGAAAGGGCCATTCAGACCACCAAAAATATGATGGGTAAACTGGCGTTGGAATTCCCTGAAATGTCATGTTGGGAAATTTTCTTGAAATCCATTTGGGCCCAAAACATTCGTGATCAATACATGGGATTCTCTCCACTTCAACATGCCATGGGGCGTAACCCTGATGATTATGAACACATTCATAAAGAGGGTACTAAGGATTTTCCCATTATCACGGAAAAAGGGATTTCGGCTGAATTTGGAAATGACCAAAAATCCATGCAAATTGCCGAGGAGGCTTTTTTGAAAGAACAGTACAACCAGAAACTTCTGAGGGCACAGCGTTCGGGCTCAAGAAAACTCTCAGTCTTCAAGCCAGGAGACTTGGTTTTTTACTGGAGAAAACAGATAGGAGCACACGGCGCTGAAACCAAAGGACAACCATTCAAAACGGGAGCATTTCTCGGACCGGCAAGAGTTCTGGCCACAGAAACAAGACTGGACGACACAGGACAAAGACGTCCAGGCTCCAGCGTGTGGCTATTTCGTGGCTCAAAGCTTTTCAAAGCAGCACCGCAACAACTACGTCATGCTAGCGAACGAGAAGAAGCATGGGCAGAATTGCAAGAAGACCATCCCATTCCGTGGACTATTTCTGGAATTTTAGAGCAATCAAAATCAAGAACATATACTGATTTGACTCAAGAAGGCATTCCAGAACCAGAGAATGAAGAGGATGATCCAAACATGGAAGTAGAACCAGGTCCAAGCAGTGCTCCACGAGTGCGCTATCGGAGAAAAGCACCAGATCTGGAGAGAGATGAGGATCCAAAGTGCGCAAAACAAATGGTTGCAACAGAAGTTGATGAACAAGCTCTTGTTGGACTGGCTTCAACTACACCTTCAGAACACCTTCAAGACCCATACGGTTGCATTCAAGTGGCAGTGGATTTACCTTATGGTAAGAAGCGCGAAAAAGATTTTTGGTTACGCGACCTAGGAGCCTATGTAGTAAATCAGACGCGGAAAAACCACATTGAGGTTTCAGGGCGTAGACTTTCACAACAAGAACTAGAGATGTTTCAACAGGCAAAGTCCAAGGAGGTGAAAAACTACATCATGGCCGAGGTGTTCAAGAAGTTACCAGACAATGTGAAACCTGACCCCTCACAGGTTATCAAAATGCGTTGGATTCTTACATGGAAATGTGACAAAGATACCGGCGAAAGAAAACCAAAAGCCCGAGCTGTCATCTTAGGCTACATGGACCCTCTATATGAACACAGACCGACAAGTAGCCCTACTATGACAAAAAGCACAAAACAACTGTTCTTGACACTATGCGCGGCGTACAAGTACGTGGTGGAGAAGGGAGACATTAGTGGGGCCTTTCTACAAGGACGAGAATGCCAAGATGAAATATATGTAGCCCCTCTGAAAGAAATCACTGATGCAATGGGGCTCCCAGAGAACTCCATCACCAAACTAGCCAAAGCTGCGTATGGACTAGTGCAAGCACCACTGGAATTTTATTTGACTGTCCATGAGTTCCTGGAAAGCCTTGGTTTTGTTCGACAACAGTCAGACCCATGCTGCTGGGGCCTTTTTGATGAACAAAATAAAAATATTGGTTGGGTAACATCACATGTAGACGATTTTCTTTTTGGCGGCCGAGAACACGACCAACGCTGGCAACTCATCAAGGAAAAGATCAAGGACAGATTCAAATTTGGAGAATGGGAACGTGGAAAATTCACTCAGTGTGGAGTGACAATCGAACAACGAAATGATTTTTCTTTTACACTTCAGCAACCTGAATTTTTGGAACAGGTCTCAGAGATCTACATTAGCAAGAATCGATTCAAAGAAATTGACTCTCCTATTACAAAGGATGAACTGAAACAAATGAGAAGCGTTTTGGGCTGTCTTGCCTGGCATGCAGGCCAGATTGCAATTGAACTGAGCGCTCCAGTGGGATTACTTTTGTCAAAGTGCACAAAAGCCACAGTGTCAGATCTGATAGAGACCAACAAACTGCTGAAGAAGAGCAAAGGCCGACAACATCAAACAATGATCATACACGCCCTGGACCCGGAGGATTTAGTGATGGCCACCTGGGTAGACGCTGGACATGCAAACCGGCCAGATTTGTCAAGTACCAAAGGAATTTTCGTAGGCTGCACATCAAAGAGGATTTTACAAGGCAGCCTGGAAGCAGTGAACCCTATTTTTTGGTCAGCTTCAAAGATTTCCAGAGTGTGCAGATCAAGTGCTTCAGCGGAAACACGTGCAGCTGTGGATGGCGAAGATCAAATGTATGCTTTGAGATTTCAACTGAGTGAATTTCGAGGTTTTCATGCCAATGTTTGGGATCCTGACTCAACAGTACTTCAAACTGAAGGAGTGCTGATTTCCGACAGCAAGAATCTCTATGACCGTTTGAACACCACCATCATGACGCTCTCAGGTGCCGAGAAAAGAAGCGACATCGAGACCCTATGCCTGAAAGAGTCACTTTCTATTTGCAAGGTCAGTTTACGGTGGGTTAATGGGGAAAGCCAATTAGCTAATTCTCTTACCAAATTTGATGAACCCCAACAAATTTTGATTTTCAACAACAGAAACGGACACTGGAGGATTGTTTATGATGATGATATTATTTCGGGAAAACGAAGACGTCAAATGGGATTGGACCCCCTTGAAACACAAACATGAACCTGGCGTAGGAGCACTTGAAAGTTCCAATTAAAGAATTGGGACCCGTGCAGATTTTCAATCATCAACACGTTCATCTCCCACTTTTGGGGATATCTCGGATCAAGCACCCCTATCCATGCCTTAGAAGGAAAAGCAGGGCCGCTTAGAGCATTGGGCTTCGCATATATATATATATATATATATGTATGTATGTATATATATATATATGTGTGTATTATATGTATGTATTTATATGTGTATACATTATGTGTGTATATATACATATACATTAATGTAAACCCTGCATGTCTGCCTATATCATGTATACATCATCCATCACTACCTATTATATATATATATGTATATATGGTATACATATATATATATATATACATACAGGTAATGTTGCATTGTGTATATACATAACTAGGAAACGTAAATAAGTTGTATATGTGTGTATATATGTATCTGTGTGTATATATATATATGTGGCTGTGTATATATATATATATATAGAGAGAGAGAGCACAAGAATTTCAGGGGCGCTCCAAGCAACCCAAGGATCACCAACAGCTCTCCCAAGCGTTGCAAATCTTTTGACAAGCTCAAAGCCTGTGAGCAGCTTTCACAGTGTTGCGTATGCCTAAGACAGTGGCACATTGAAATGGCCGTCAAAACCCTCCTAGCGCATCAAAACAGGTCATATCGCTGGCAAATGATAGGTGTTTTTAATCATTCCATGTCACATTGCCGAGTACCCCCCAGATTATCCCACAGGATGATGCCCCCCAGTTATAAGTTGGTTTATAAACCCCATTAAGTATAGTTATATCTGCCATAAACCATAGTTATGGGAGTTATAAACCAACTTAGCTATCTATGGGGCACCACCTTGCATGTCTTGTCCAGATGTTCCTACACAATGCATCCAGTTCTCACTTGCCGGGGTTATTCCTCACTTCTCAGAGGGCTGAAATTTTTGCTTTGGCCATGGCATTGTACGCAACTACCGGCCCCTTGATCGTTGCATCCGATTGCAGTAACGTTGTCCGGATGTTTGCTTTTCTTCAGCAGAACTCATTTGAACCGATTGCTTTAAAAGCTGCGGCCAACAAAGATTTGTGGAGCCTCGTCATTGAGCTTGCCAGACATAGGGATGCCCCAGTGCTTGTCTTCAAGGTCAAGGCCCATGTGAGCCATAATGACCCCCAAGACCAACATCTCACTTTTGGGAATTCAAAGGCTGACCTTCTTGCCAAGAAGCATGCCTGGCGCGTTTTTGAGCAATGCTCTGCCGGTTGCTGTGCCCGTATCAGCGAGGCAATTGCCTTGCAAGCCCACATGGTTTCAGCTCTCCATAAGCGAGCCAATTTGTTGAAACTTGTGCAGGCGACGGACTTTGAACTTCATGATCCTAGCCTTGGCATGGGTCCTTTTAGCCGAAGAATCCACTGTACTTGCACTTCAGCTAAACGTTGCCGAACCAAAACCAAAGTTTGCCAAGGATGCCATCTGTCTGAGACCCGGGGTTGCCTCGAAAGTGTGGCAATGTCTGAATATCATGCCGGGGGAATCACAAGTTTGACCCTTGATTTACTTCGGGCTCAATATCCCACTTTTTCATCAAAATCTTTTTCTGAAAGGATTCCCCCGATTAATTTACGGCTTCCCGGAGTTGACCAAATCCATAGGAAAGGAAGACGAGCCCCGGCTGAAGTTGAGGAGATTGTTAGATTCACTCAGCAGTGTCAGATCATGTTCTCCAGAAGTCCTACTGGGCCTTGTGTTCCTTGGACATTGGTCTATTATGATTTTTGCTCCATGTTTCCCCAATCGAGTTTAACCACCCAATATCCAACACTGCACCGTGCAGTGTGTGCTTTTCGTTCCCTCTTTGCGCAGACTCTCAAGTGTGGCGGTTGCAAGGGCATCACTGCGCCCAACTGTACTCATTTCAAACCCCTTGGTTTGGGTAAAGTTGCAGGATTTTTTGGTTCCTTCTGCCCCCGGTCTGAAGGTGCCTGTTGGTTTGGGGTTCTCACCCACGCTCTGGAGGGCGGCTCTTCCCATAAGATTTCCCCCTCCAAGTTTACTTGGTATCTTCCTTGATTCCAACGGTGTTCGATGCGTCGCTCTTCGCTCAGCTACCCGAGAGGTGCGTGGGCGTGATGGAAGCAGTAAAAAACAATGCATCCAGTTCTCTGCAGTTCAGCGGCGATCGCAAGCGTTCCACCAGCTCCTCCCTACTCTTGGGCTCCTCTTGTCGACCTGGAATTCGATCCACATGGGAACTTGTAGGATATATCTAACCAACAAATATGGGGATATAATCTTTACCTAACAAAAACTAGGTGATTTAACAAACAAACACAGTGGTAGAATGGGATTTAATGATATATAACAGAGATATAACGGGACATAATGGGACTAACGTTCATATTAAACGCCCCCAAGAAACCAGTGTTTAATAATGATAGGCTATGAAACCTATGACTGGGACCACTAACCATCAAGGCGTAACTAAAGAATTTCCGATCGTTCTCTTTCACCAATTCTATGAAATACTAAAGCAGCGCTTCGGTTGGCATTCAGAAATAGGGGAAAAGGACCATATTTATGAATTATGGGTATTTCCTCCGTGAAACATCAGCCTTTTGGGCAGTCTAGGGAGTATGCAACACCATTTTAGGCAATATGCGACGCATGGAATCGGAAATATGATGATATATGGAGATAGCCGGATCGGGTTCCATTTCAACCCACGAAATTGTTCATCGTTGATCCTGAAACGGTTTAAACCAATTTGGTTGTGAAGAAGTTACAGAAAGTCATACCCAGATATTTCGGTGGAGAAAAGATGATGGGTCATAACTTTGTACTTCCCTCGTTTTCTGTATTGAACAAGTCAAATGACTGTTCCTTACCCGTATCGAACCAAAATAACCATATCAAATTTGGTGTTAGCCCCTAGCCCTAGCTATACTATGCGTTGTTTCTGTTCGCCATCGATCACAATCCCCGTCAGATTAAGAGATGGGTCAAGGAATCTCCCAAAAGATAGCAAAAATTTTGCTCATTTTGTACTATTGGAAGATGGTAGGTACTTATATAGGTGTATACATGTATAATCATGTATACATGTTCATGATATGTCATAGATGGTACTTCTATTTCTGCGTTTCTGTCCTTCTGTCATCTAACCTGCCAATGAAAAAATTGCCCCAGAAAACACCCGATGAAGAAAATGGCCAGCCAGCCAACCAACATTGCCATGCGTGATTGCCGCATGGTTTAGGAAAAAAAATGGATTGTTGAATTTGTACAACCTGCCAGCATTTGCAAATTTACAAACCCTCAACAGATCCAACATTGAAGGCGATTTCGGTCTCAAATAAGTAGGGTTGCCCCCCAAAACAAAAAATATATTCCTTTCCCAACTATAAAATTAAATGATCTGTCTTAAATCGTAAGTCTTATTAATTTGCTTATATATCATATTCCATAAAAAAGGGAGGTTTCCCAAAATGGGGGTACCCCCAAATCATCCATCTTTTTTTCGGAGGTTCCATCATATACACCATTACACCATTGATTTTGGGGATCCTAAAAGTTGAAACCCCAAAAAAATCCCATTGAAACCTCCGACTGAAATCGCAAGATTTCCCCACAACACACCTGGGTCGAAGCTCGGAGACACATCGGGGACATCCGGCCTGGTCGCGCCCAGCACACCGCACCGCCCATCTCTTGAAGCCAGCGATGGTAGCAGAGCACTGCGGCATCCGAGTTTGTCGGGGTGTAGAAGCGCTTCGACCACAAAGCGTCCTACCGGGAAAAAAAGAACAACGACAAGTTGGTTCTATGAAATCCAAGTGGGTTCTGTGTGTCAAGCCATGAACAAACTGAGAGATACTCAAGTTTGGCTTCATTGGAGCAATTTTTGGGGAAACACACAACAAAAATGTGTGTTTTAAGACCCAGAAGAAGGCTGGAAATTGCCTCAGACTGTTAGCGCAGTTTGTGCTATCAGACCTTCTGGGAGGGCTGTGCACCCAAGTGCAAGCCTGCTTGAGAAAAAAACTCATGAGGCGTTCAAACAAGAAAAAACATGAAAAAACCTCGGTCAGTCGGGCAACAGGCTCACTCTACGTGCAAAATCCTGCAAAATCGATGTCTTGATTGGAGTTTCCACATCTGAACAAAATGGGAATCGTCCACAGCTACAGCTTTATCGACATCGCAACATCTTCCTATCCCAATGTCCTGCTTGCCACCTGGTGACATGGTTTGCCCCTGGTGGTGTAGGAAGATGTTGTCATCTTCCAGCACTTTGTGATTGGACAAATGTGTGAAGACGGGTGGAAAATGTGGAGAAAATGCCACTTGAAAGATCTGCTGCAAGGGCATCGGAATCCTAGCAACTTCGAAGACCACTCGTACAAAGATGCGACTCCGGCCCGGGCTGATTGGTGTAGCATACACGATATTCCAATCACCTTGTGCTTGGTCGGCTTGGGCTTGGGGAAGTGGTTGGTTGAAAATTGTGGATCTCATCTCCTTCATTTCATCGTGAGTTGCTGCAAAACAGGAAGTCAGAGAGTTGCCAGCAGGCTTGATTGTTCAAAAAAGATGTCTTGGGCTTCCTTACACGCGAACCTTCAATGCTGCCAAAGCTGCGGTAGGAGTCCTTTCTATCGGTCAAAGCCCAGACATGATTTGGCGCCTGGTATGTGACCACGCCGGGAGCAGAGGTCTGTCTCCGACCTATGGGGAAGCTGCTGTTGCTGTTTTTCGTCCCTCCAAAAATGCCTGTCCGCTTTTCTTGAAAGTCCTAGGTCCTATGCAAATTAAATTTAATGATACTGAAAAACAAAGCACGAAGACAAAATCATACAAAACCGGTGTTGGGAGTTTTCACAGGCACTGGATCGTGATGAACTATGCACAAGACAATGCAGCATCTGTTGATGTCAGTTTCTGATCGATCCATACCCCTCACCTGTAAAGCCCCGTCGGTGTCTGGAGGTAATCTGGATTGGAACTGCCGTTGCTTTGTCCCTTTTGCCTTAGCCATGCAGGCAGCCAGAGATTCTTTAGGCAAAGTCTAAGTAGGACTGTGGTAAACCTAATAAGTTTACATCCAAACAAAGAAAACGTACTCATCTTGCCATTTGTGGGGCATTTCAAAATCGACAAAATTACACAGCATACTCAGTTCATTCAACAAAAAATAAAATATTCTGGTTCAGCCTTTTTGCACCTTAGCAGGAAAAAAGAAAAGCAGACGCCAAAATCTTGCTGAAGGAGTTGAGTGTGCTGATGGTGTCGTGATGGGTGAACGGCAAGTGCGCAGGATCTAGCACATTCCTCGCCCCAAATTCATCAGCTGACAGGGACAAAGTCATCAAGCAAGAGCTCTTCGTTTTAATATGGGAGCGATGTCATTGTGGACAAAGAAAGTTTAAATGATTCAATTGAATGAATGTTGTTTTCATTGAGTGATCTGAGTAGGATGAAAGAAAACTCAATCCACAGATCTGGAAGGCAGGAGTGCTATGGCAGGTCCTTTATCTGCCAACCTTAACTTTTGTCAAAATCCAAGATGGATCGTGGCTGTGTCTGAAAATGAAGTAGGGAGAGGGGTGATTAACCAATGAGCCAATGGATCCATAACCTATTTTCAGACAAACCGCCTAGGAACTAGGAACCCGATCAAAACCAATGAAGAAACCATTCCCTGCTTCCCGCGCTTCCAGCGAAAAAACATCAACCTTCCAACCAGTCGGCGGCCAAGCCGAGGTTCTCAATCAAGATGGGCAAATCCATGAAGAGATCACGGGAATAGTCCACATATTTCACCCCCTCAATACCAAAGATGTCCTCAAGACTCGGTGACACGGGCCAAAGGAGTCACATGACCAGCTGAGGACGCCGGCTGGTGTGAAACCTGAGTTGACTTCAAAAACCAACTCCTTCTAGTAGAACCCGTGAAGGACACTGAAATTTTAGAATTTTGACGAAGCAGCCATTTACAAAATTATGTTTGCCGGTTATCCATAGTTATCCTATTTTCAGTCAGGCCCACTCGCAAAATCTATTCCTTCTCGAACACCAACAAAGACCAGAGTTCAATTCAACAACTTCACAAGGGTACTGAGGACCCCTCAGTGAAACCACAGCACAAGAGTTTCATCCCGTCGCACAGTGTGATCAATGACCCCTGTTGTTCCATGCAGTGCAACAGCATATCCTCTTCCAAACCCACATCAGACCCTCTACAACTTTTGTTCATTCACATGGTCAATGTGCGACCCATCAGATTAACGAGATTCAATACAACAACGTCACCAGGGTACTGAGGACCCCTCAGTGAAACCACAGCACAAGAGTTTCATCCCGTCGCACAGTGTGATCAATGACCCCTGTTGTTCCATGCAGTGCAACAGCATATCCTCTTCCAAACCCACATCAAACCCTCTACAACTTTTGTTCATTCACATGGTCAATGTGCGACCCATCAGATTAACGAGATTCCATACAACAACGTCACAAGGGTACTGAGGACCCCTCAGTGAAACCACAGCACAAGAGTTTCATCCCGTCGCACAGTGTGATCAATGACCCCTGTTGTTCCATGCAGTGCAACAGCATATCCTCTTCCAAACCCACATCAAACCCTCTACAACTTTTGTTCATTCACATGGTCAATGTGCGACCCATCAGATTAACGAGATTCCATACAACAACGTCACCAGGGTACTGAGAACCCCTCAGTGAAACCACAGCACAAGAGTTTCATCCCGTCGCACAGTGTGATCAATGACCCCTGTTGTTCCATGCAGTGCAACAGCATATCCTCTTCCAAACCCACATCAAACCCTCTGCAACTTTTGTTCATTCACATGGTCACTGTGCGACCCATCAGATTAACGAGATTCCATACAACAACGTCACCAGGGTACTCAGAACCCCTCAGTGAAACCACAGCACAAGAGTTTCATCTCGTCGCACAGTGTGATCAATGACCCCTGTTGTTCCATGCAGTGCAACAGCATATCCTCTTCCAAACCCACATCAAACCCTCTACAACTTTTGTTCATTCACATGGTCAATGTGCGACCCATCAGATTAACGAGATTCCATACAACAACGTCACCAGGGTACTGAGGACCCCTCAGTGAAACCACAGCACAAGAGTTTCATCCCGTCGCACAGTGTGATCAATGACCCCTGTTGTTCCATGCAGTGCAACAGCATATCCTCTTCCAAACCCACATCAAACCCTCTACAACTTTTGTTCATTCACATGGTCACTGTGCGACCCATCAGATTAACGAGATTCCATACAACAACGTCACCAGGGTACTCAGAACCCCTCAGTGAAACCACAGCACAAGAGTTTCATCTCGTCGCACAGTGTGATCAATGACCCCTGTTGTTCCATGCAGTGCAACAGCATATCCTCTTCCAAACCCACATCAAACCCTCTACAACTTTTGTTCATTCACATGGTCAATGTGCGACCCATCAGATTAACGAGATTCCATACAACAACGTCACAAGGGTACTGAGGACCCCTCAGTGAAACCACAGCACAAGAGTTTCATCCCGTCGCACAGTGTGATCAATGACCCCTGTTGTTCCATGCAGTGCAACAGCATATCCTCTTCCAAACCCACATCAAACCCTCTGCAACTTTTGTTCATTCACATGGTCACTGTGCGACCCATCAGATTAACGAGATTCCATACAACAACGTCACCAGGGTACTCAGAACCCCTCAGTGAAACCACAGCACAAGAGTTTCATCTCGTCGCACAGTGTGATCAATGACCCTGTTGTTCCATGCAGTGCAACAGCATATCCTCTTCCAAACCCACATCAAACCCTCTACAACTTTTGTTCATTCACATGGTCAATGTGCGACCCATCAGATTAACGAGATTCCATACAACAACGTCACCAGGGTACTGAGGACCCCTCAGTGAAACCACAGCACAAGAGTTTCATCCCGTCGCACAGTGTGATCAATGACCCCTGTTGTTCCATGCAGTGCAACAGCATATCCTCTTCCAAACCCACATCAAACCCTCTACAACTTTTGTTCATTCACATGGTCAATGTGCGACCCATCAGATTAACGAGATTCCATACAACAACGTCACCAGGGTACTGAGGACCCCTCAGTGAAACCACAGCACAAGAGTTTCATCCCGTCGCACAGGTCCTGATGGGTCAGCTCATCCAACATCTGAAGATCTGGCGGCGACAAGACGTCATAGAGCCCCGCGGCCCAAAGGAACAGAAGCCCATTCCTGCGCAATGTGGCCGCAGCAGATGGCTTCCACCGTATACATCAACCATGGTACCAAATCAATCCTCATACCCTGGATGGAAGAAATTCTGCACCACTTGATACGTGGTTTTTCATGGTTTATCCCATTATTTATAGGGTTTCAACATGTTTCAACCATCCCAGGTGCAGGATTCTTCCACCCGGCGTGACGCTGCCAGGCCACATCGGTCCTCTCCTCAACAGGCAGCATCGACAGCTGCGCGCGTGGAGAGTCGCGTGGGTCCGTGGGGCCCTCTGCTGGCTCAGCTTGTGGAATCCGTGTACATCTGCCTGCAGTGTCAAGGGGGTTCTGTGGGTCACACTGGGTGGGTCAAGGGCTCTCGCACTGTTCCTTCACAAAGGCTACAGCCAGGGAAAATCAGATGATTTTTGGTACTAAAGTTGAAGAGAAAATCAATATGTTTTTTCTGAATGGTATGTTTATAATATTTTTTAATGCATTTCAGTATTCATGACACCTATGACTTGACCCATCCCTTCAACCGAGGCAACTGCTACCATCAAACTGGCCTCTTCCATCGAAAGTCCAGCCATGATAGGGGCACTGCAGCCTGAGTTGTGAAGTGGTTTAGGGTTCGGTTTGGAATCCCAGGAACCTTTTATAACAAGATTGTAATCCTACGGGGTAACCCCCGGCAACCCAAACTAGCAACCACCAAACGAGAAAACGGTGGCTTGAAAATGATCTTGATATGATTTCGGAATGTCTTAAAGATTTGGTGGCTAATACCTTAGGATATCCCTTTTTGCACTAACGGTGGGTACCAGCAGAGGGCACCAAAATAGCACCAAAAAAAAAGGCAAAAATTGTTTTGGCTCCACATAAACAGGTCGAACCAGTTTCCCCTAAAAGCAGTCTCGAGTTGCCTTACATTTATACACAAAGGAACATCCATTCTGCCCCCCCATCAAATCCCCATGTTTTGAGACAAACCCATGCAACCCACTTTCCCCACCGCGTTTGCATTTCAGGCAGCTCTGATCCTTCCAATCGGCCCTCAGACAGCCTGACCCGGCGATGCGGGCATTCATCCACCGCAGCATGCCACGCATCGCCGTCGTGCCAGAACACTACGGGCACGTTGCATATCCGAAGGTGGTGTGGCTTGGTCATATCCGTGACGTTGGTGAGGCAAACGGGATACCTTGCAACATGCCATAAGCTCTGCCCCAAAGGTTTACAAGCTGGTCTTTCCTCAGAAAAGGGAGAACATGGGAGAACTAAACTAGAAGTCTCGAGACTCTAAAATCCTACGATCCCAAAAGTCCCACGGGTCCCCGAAGCCGAGGCACCAAGCATGTGCGAAGATCTCTTTTGCTGCATCCAGCTTCTGCACATCCGTGTTGGACATCGCAGGCTGGCAACACTTTGGCAGCTTCCGCTTCCTCAACGATGCGCAGCCCAGCGGTGCCACTGCGAAGCGCAGCGTGCTGTGGCTGCCGGGCCCGGGCAGGATCCGACACCGGGGCGGTTCCCCATGGATTCTGACCCATCGAGGATCAGATCCTCTGGGGTTGGCCCAGCTTGGACCTATCATGGCTAGGCTTGAACCAATGTCTACAGCGAAATTAGCTGTTTGGGATGGTGAAATCATGTAGGTGCAGCTGAAAGCTTTGAGTCGATCATCGAAAAAACGTTTCCAGTTGGGAGGATACATTCTGGTCAATTGTATAGGGACTTTTTTATATATGACAATATATATATATATATATATGGGTTTCAACCATCATTCATTAGTTAGACTTGCCGGTTCTGAAGGGTTGACCCATTTTGTACCTGGAAGATCCTGGAAAAAACATCCCCAGACACCAGCCGCAGGCGACGAATTTTCCCGCTGACATCAGGCCGTGCAGCACCTCAGCCATGGCGGTGTGGCGTCTCGGATGCACCGGGATGAACTTAAAACAGCGAAGCAACTGACATCAACTGACTAAAATGAGTTCCAGGATGTTCCAGGTACTGAAGGGTTACCCTCTGGTAATTTAACATGATTGAAAATCACCATTTTTAGTGGGTAAATCAACTATAAATGGCCATGTTCAATAGTTATGTTAGTTTACCAGAGGGTTAACTTCAGGTACCAATGGGGTTGTTGACCCAATTTGTACCATTGTTGACCAAAAATATCATCTCCAATCTGTTCCCTAGCATCGCCTCAGGGTGTAATTCTCTCGCGATCTGTAGAGCCCTTTTGAAGTAATGTTCAAGTCTTAAGCACGGAAAGAATCTCTCGTAGCCAATCTAAAATGCCTTGCAAAAAAAAAAAACTGTGGCTGGGAACAATATATTCCCGTTGCAGCAAACTGAAAGAATAACGAATGTTCATCCATCCTTCACCAAAGTATACCAATCTGAAACCGGTGTTTTTGTGGTGTGCCCATCACTTGTTTGCTCAAACGCAAGCAAATTTCACATAGAATTGCCTACCATCTGGTAGTCTAAGGTGGCGATGACAAAATCTCGAAGGTATGTTGATGTTTTTCCTATGATCTTCCCATCCCCATCAGCATCTCCCCATTCGAATCCCTATTTCTTCATGCTTGTATGGCTGTGGGTCAAACCCCTGATACCCCAAGTCGCTGGTTCATGGATTTGTGTTCTCTCCCAGTCATATGGTAAGTTCATAAGTTTTGACCCATCCCCATATTCCCATAGAAAAGCCCCATCAAAAAGCTTGGGCCAAATGGATCCAAATAGCTCCTCGTCGCTACTTCCCTGGATGCGATCCGCATCGGACTTGCGTACCTTGGAGCGGTCCTTCGCAGCGGCTGGGAATTTCGGGAACTGAATGGAAGAATCCTGGAGAGTTACCATGGGAAAATCATGGAAAATCCACAGGAAACCATGGTGTTTCACATTGAATATGGGGGCGGCGGTATGTTTTGCCATCATTCCAATGCTGGGAGAATGGTGAGAACCATGGCTATAACCCTGCTCATATACCTGCTGATTAGGTAGAACTGCAGCAGTGTTGGCAAGTTCCTGGAGCAGCAATGGAACTAGAAAAAGTTTTCATTTGATGGGGGTTTCTATGGGAATATGGGGATGGGTCAAAACCTATGAACTCAGCTTTTCATGTGGCAAACCCTGCCATAAACAACTCCCATCGCCAACGTCGGATCAGCAAGACCAGTATGCCACACATCCCAGGGGAGATCTCAGCTAGAAGTAGCTGTCCATCACATTGCCAGATGGGGATAGAAAGTAATATGTAGCTGAAACCACCAGTGCAAGGGTTTAATCCTTGTTAGTGGTTCAGAATATTGTTGGTAATTTCAGAATTTGCATGGCTTTTCTAGTTGCAGAATCATTTTTGGTGCTAATGTTTTCTACACGTGTTAATATATAATATAGGTACAGTTATACCTCGTTTTCTCAAATCGGTGATTTTACAAATCCCCTGTTTGCCGCTTCCTCATCCCCACGGCAAAATAAACACAACAGGAGTCCTTGCAACAGTAGTCCTTGCACCTTGCAACAGGCTTCGGAGCGAAGACTGAGAAAAATACCCTCTGGTGTCATCAAACGTGGCACTTGAAAATCCTCGTTGAAATATGGGATTTCAGATATGGAAACCCATCTATAAGTGGAGATTTTCCGTTGCCATATTTGATTTGCTGAGGGTAACTTCCAGTGCACGCACCTCGGCCTGGAAATATCTTGCATTTGTTCTTGATCTTGGGTACATGCCGTCTGTTCTTCAATGTATCATTGTGCTTGCGGCTCCGCCAAAAACACAAGGTGGTGCCCCCAAACTATAAGTTATAGGTGTCAAAACCCTATTAACTAGCTAGATTATAAAATCATCTATTGTAATTGCCATAAAGCCTAGTCACTAGTCATGGTCACCTATTGTTTTTCCTAAGGATTGGGGGCGCCACTTATTTGCACCTCTTGCTGCCGGGACACCAAACTGGATCGTAGCATTCCGCATCGGTGCTCCCCAGCAGATCTTTGTCTTCTTTTCGCCTCAACGCTGGGAACTGAGAGGAACTGATGATGGGACTACCCCCCTTTAGGGGGCCCTTTCTTGTTGTGTTATTTATAGGATGTTGAAGGTATTGCTCCACGATATGGGACCGTATTTCATAGATGATACCCATGTGGTCCATGTCTGAAGGCCATCAGCTTTGCAGTTCGCAGCCCTTCAGGACCAAGATCTGAATGAAGGATACTGTGGCAAACCCTCACTGTCATAAACAACTCCCATTTAAGGGGCTGGTTTGAATCTCACCCATGGAAAATGGTGATAAGTTGGGCATGGTGACTGCCTGGCATTGGGTGAATCCCACATGTCTGAAGATTTCTGGAGTGAAAGAAGATGTGGGATCATTCATTGAATTCAATTGGATTAAGGGAAAATCTACAGGAAACCCCCTTTTTAATAGCTGGTAAAAATCCTGGTTTCCTGTAGATGTTCCCTTAAATCGGATCCAGTGAACTCAGCCAAGATACTTGAACTTGCTTGGAAACTCTGTTGTGTACCTTGCAATGCGCCGATCGCACCATGTTCCCAAACACCCCGCTGGCAAGCCGCGACAAAGTCTCAGTACAAATGTTCCCAAACATTTGGAGATGCCTGAAAACTCGGATAATTTCGGATACCAAAAAAACATCCACAAAGTTTTTCTCATTGTGTGAGTCAACCAATAAAAATATCTTGGGGTCGTCATTTTACCGAGGCGTCTATTAATGATCCTCAAGACACAGAACCGTCGTCTTGACGGAGTCGGTGCGCAACTGCTGCCTGGTTGCTGGCTACAAGACCGGGCAACACAACACTCTTCGTCGGTACTGCCCTTGTTCTTGAAGTGGTTGGTGTCCACCTTCCTTGGCGCCATTACATTCATTGCTTGTAAGCACCTGGGCCCATTGGCCGAAAATAAAGATATAGCAAGCCCAAAAAAGACAGACAAGTCATGTTGAAAACAAGTCTTTGGTAGTTCACTTTTCGATCTTCCGGTGGATTGCTAGAGGTATTTACAGATGTTTATCGAGTCCCAGCTTGCAAACCCAATCACCTGCAGATTGCCTGGAAATGTCCCTGCTGCTCTTAGGTGCATGAACACACCAAACTTGGGATTTGAAATGGATCATTGATGGTTTTGTTTTGAACAACAATAATAATAAACATTCAAATTTGTAATAAGCATTGCTGGTCATTCTGACCATCAATAAGACACTGACCCCGGTATCATGAATAATCATTCATTCATGAATCATGATAATCATTAATCACTAACCATTAATATCCGTAATCATCAATATATATATATATTATATATATATTATTATTATTACAACAATAATAATAATAATACATGAATCATTATATAATCACGGCCAAGTTTCTTGTAGTACTTGCTGCTTTCACCTGAAATCACCCAGCACTGCGGTTCCAATAAATTGCATCGCTACCAACTGGTCTTTTCTTCTACAGACATGAACAACAATATGGCTTTGAGATGCTTTAAGTTCGAAAGAAGGGTTCCAAAAAGAAACTAGTAGAAATGGGGGCTTCAGCCACCAGAAATGTGTCTTTCCCCATGTACCCCATGTACTGTACAGTAGCCTTTGGTGTGAAGCCATGGTAAACACCCCTCAGCTTCTGACCATCACCATCAGCATCACCACTGCAGGTATAATCCTCATCGCACCACTCAGACTGGTTGGAAAAGCTGGGGGGCTATCTATGATATCGTGGCTATTGATCGACAAAAAGCACCAGGGGATGGATGGCTGAGGCAATGACAGAAAATCGGAGTCAGCATGCCAATACCAAATGTATCCGAAGTTCAAAAACCCCTCTTCGACTCTTTTCATATGCAACAAAAAGGGGTACCCAAAGATAAGGAACAAAAACGTATGCTCGTTCGATGATGTTTCCTCGAAAGTCCAGTTCCACGTGTCCAACTTTTCTATGACTGGGGGTTGCTATATGCCTTCTGTATCTTTTGATGTTTGGATACACGGATAGAGAAAAGATGTACCAGTGTACCTTTCGATATCTTCTGTATCTTTGGATGTTTGGATCTATCTGGGCAAATTATAATATTTCACTAACCTGAATTAAGGCCATTTGGGGATGATTCCCCCTACTAACTATGATTATAGTGAGGTCGCAGTGAGGTCGTTATAATTTACCCAGATCTATGCTTTTCCTACTCGCCAAGGTCACACAGCCAACAGCCAAAGGGGCTGCACAGAAGCGAGGTTCACAGCACTCCTGGGGAGATGATCAAAAAGCCGCCATGTTGGCACCAAAAAAATGGGGAAAAAAAACACGAACACGTGAGTTATAAAAACCCGCCTACTATCAATTGACATATGGCAGTGTGTCAAAACCAATAGTACCCCTGTAGTTCACATCAAAATAGCTGGTAAATGGATGTTCATCACCCTAAAAATGGTACTTATAGCTATTGATCCATAGCCATATGTGTGTATGTATGTGTGTATATTAAATATATGTATATATGGAAAACCCATAAAATGGTAGGGTTTTTCGTACAAATGTTAACATTAGGGTGAGTCCACTTGAATGCCATCCCGCACTTCAAATATCTTGCCCACGTTCCACCAAGCGGTCCTCATTGGTGCTCCCTGCCGCTGTCTCCCGGTAGGAAGCATTCCTAATGGCATGCTGAAAGCTGCTGCAAGATGCCATTTGATATGATTTGGGGGTTTCCATAGTCATGGGAGTACCCCAAAATAGCTGGCGTATAATTAGTTTAAAATCCTATTAAAATGGATGATTTTGGAGTACCCCCATTTTAGGACATCTCCAAAAATCATGATTTCGTGCACTCCCGGTATCATCAATCCATCAGCCCACCGCCTGCGCACCAAGACACAAGGGTTTCCACATGGTCGCGGGACTGCAGCTGTAAGCAGAGCACATCACTTTATCACAACACTCCTGGCTTGTAATCACCACTGCTGCGCAGTAGAAGGCTGGAAAATCCGTCACCATCTTCCCGTGAAAGTCAAGATTGAAATACATCCGAACATCATCCGAACCAAGGGGCAGTCGTCAACCATATTGTGTTGGACATTGTTCAAATTCTTGGGAGCCTTGTTCCTGTGTACCAGCCATTGGTTCCCACCCTCTTAACTACTTCGTCCTCATCACTCCATCCAGCTTGGGAGTGCTTCTTGGTGTCAACGTCGGCCTTGTGAACCCATTTCCTTAGATGGTCATCGGGCAGTGGACACACCTATGTGGCTGGTCATTTTAAGATATCCAGACCACCCTTCAAAAACTCTATTGGGGGTTGAGAACTTGGACCCGTTCTCGTTTGAATGTGATGGAAAAAAAACCAGAAACATATACATTTTTGCCCAGACCCATATTTGAATTGAGAATTTATGACATATGGAGGTTTCCTAAGTCATGGGGGTACCCCAAATCATCCAAGTCAATAAGACTATGACTTAGTATTGAAACAACCATGGTGACGACTGGGGGTCCCCAAAGCCTAGCGAAGCCTAGCGAAGCCTAGCGAAGCCGAGCGGCGTGGCACTGCTGCAGGTATACTGCTCGCAGAGCCTGGCCAAGCTCGTCATGGCCAGATGACTTGAATGTGAAAAATGTTGGAAAAATTATGTACATACTGTGTCAAAACCTTGTACCCCTGGTGAACATCAAAATAGCTGGTAAATGGATGTTCATTTCCCCTAAAAATAGTATTTATAGGTATTGATCCATGGCCATGTACATACTGTGGATGGAAGAAATCCTGCACCAGTTGATAGGTGGTTTATCCCACTATTTAGACGGTTTCAAGCATCCAAGGCGGCGCAGGATTCTTCAATCCACAGTATGGAGTAGTAATGATAACAAGAATAATAGTACACACAGACCCCGAGGTTTGCCCAAGCCCAGAATAGCGTAAATTACAAGGTATTTTTGTTCACACTATACATATCATATAAATTCTCCCACCCCCGTTAAGCTTCTACATTCATTGAAGATCTTCCATAAGGGTTTAATTCTCCCACCCCCGTTAAACTTCTACATTCATCGAAGATTCTTCAATAAGGGTTTAATTCTCCCACCCCCGTTAAACTCTTACATTCATTGAAGATCATCAATAATAAGGGTTTAATTCTCCCACCCCCGTTAGACTTCTACATTCATTGAAGATCATCAATACGGGTTTAATTCTCCCACCCCCGTTAAACTTCTACATTCATCGAAGATTCTTCAACAAGGGTTTAATTCTCCCACCCCCGTTAGACTTCTACATTCATTGAAGATCTTCAATAAGGGTTTAATTCTCCCACCGCCGTTAAACTTCTACATTCATCGAAGATTCTTCAATAAGGGTTTAATTCTCCCACCCCTGTTAAACTCTTCCATTCATTGAAGATCTTCAATAAGGGTTTAATTTCCCACCCCCGTTAAACTTCTACATTCATTGAAGATCTTCAATAAGGGTTTAATTCTCCCACCCCCGTTAAACTCTTACATTCATTGAAGATCTTCAATAACGGTTTAATTCTCCCACCCCGGTTAGACTTCTACATTCATTGAAGATTCTTCAATAAGGGTTTAATTCTCCCACCCCTGTTAAACTCTTCCATTCATTGAAGATCTTCAATAAGGGTTTAATTTCCCACCCCCGTTAAACTTCTACATTCATTGAAGATCTTCAATAAGGGTTTAATTCTCCCACCCCCGTTAAACTCTTCCATTCATTGAAGATCTTTGATAAGGGTTAAATACATTGTTTATGCGGAGAATATTGGTGGTCATCATCATCATCATCATCACCATCATCATGCTCGGACACGCGTTGCGAGTCCGGGCAAACCTCAGGGTCTTGCCGTAATAGTAGTGACAATAATAAGAAAAAGAATGGCTCAATAACAATAATAAAAACAATGATAATCTATGATACTCATCCATGATTCCTCCTAACATAATATAATATATCTTATATCATCATATGTCCTGGCCATGACAATCATCGAAAAAATCAGGAAAATCTGGGGAAATTGAATGAAATTGATATAGATCAAGTCTATCTATCACTGATCATCCACTGGATGTGGGGTCTCCCCCATTCTTGGACAAAGTCCGAGGTGTTCCAGTATGTTCCAACACAGCTTTAGTCCGGTCAGAGGAACAGAAATCCTAAAGGCTTGGACGGTCCTGGAAGGTCAAAGAAATCGTCTGACGTAGCCATTTGACACGTCTAATCCAACATAGCGATAGAAAATCCCCATGCTCAATTGGTAAATAATCTAGAAACTTATCATGTTCCACAGCTACGTTAGATTATGCGAGGGTAATCTGACAAGTCCTGTTTGTGTTTTGGCAACGGAGTCCCACCTGGGTTCGCAGCACTCCTCATCAGTACTGCCCAGCCGCTCTTCCCCAGGTTTCTTCTTCCTGGGTTACAGCTCACCCAGTAACCAGCTCAGTAGTTTCCCAGAAATCCCTTTCCGTTTCAGTTGGATGCAGCTTTTCATGACTCTTCATCGCAACAAAATTACCCATAAATTGATATAAGTTGGAAGTAGCTCCCAAAAAAAAGCGATCATCAGCCAGGGTCACGTGACCCCAGCGTGCTCTGCACAACTCTACGAGGCTCAACTTTGGGCTGCTGCAATTGAAAGCCTTGGGTGCAGAAGTGTGCGGGTCAGAATCTTTGATCCAATATTTGAGGACCCAGTGTGGCTCCACATAGATTCTAGCTCGGTGGATAGGACATCAAGAGTCTCAGCATGCCTCAGCACAAACCAGCAAAAAGCCGAAACACCTGCGATCCAGAAATTCCCAATGACTTAAATTTTAGCCTTGAACGCTGGATGATTAGTACTGTGGCGTGGATCAAATCAGTTCCTGACTTTCAGGGCAGCCCTGAACCCGCCTCGCAGGTCAGCTTCTCACAGCAAAGTTCGCTGGCAAAGCCTGCCGAGTGCCACGGTGCCACAGGATTTGGTGCCATGATGTGCCATGGTACCTGAGAATGTTGGGGAAAACTCCCAAATCCAATGGTTTATCATTGCTGTCATTGAATATCTACATGCATGTCTGTGTATGTATATATTTATATATATATAGAGAAAGAGAGTGTGTGTGTGTGTCTCTGTGTATCAATTGAATTGCCATTTGGGGAGTGTACACCCCATTTTCAGACCCACTGATGGTGAGCTTCCAAGCTTGGGATTTTTTTTTTGGATCGCTCCACCTCGACGCTTTTCGCCATTGGGCAAAAGGGCACTGAGATTCGACCACTGTGTCGTTGGACTGCAGGTGAAATCCTGGCTTCCAAAACCCAGGAGTTAACACCCTCGACACCTCACCGCCATGGATGATTCATGTGTACAGTATGCATGTTATATGCACCAGGCCCTGCCACCCCCCCCTCCCCCAAAAAATGTAAAAAACCACAGTTCATAGAAGTTTTTAATTTCAATTTTAACCGTCTAAACACAGATTTTTAATATTGTTGATTACTTCCTTTTTTCAACAATATTAAAACTATAATGAAAATAAAAACAGTCAAGGCATAATTACCTCATTCATTTTTTCAAAATCATCACTACTAACCATATATTACCTCTTTCATTTCTATAAATCATAAAAGTCAATACCTAATTGCCTCATTCATTTTATTGAAACCTAACTACTGACTATTATTTAAGTTTCTTTGATGCTTCTCTGTTTTCTTATGCTTATAGTAATTTGCTTGGGTCATTGAACAATTACAAACAGAACAACTAACAATTTTAGATTGAAATGTGTTATTATAGTCCTGCTTCATTTTTCTATATTCCTCATCTTCTTCATATCTTTTTCTTTGAACCTCATTTCGTTTATGTTTATGTTTGTGATAACTGGTTCTTTTATCTGGCAAGCACATTTTACAAGTTTTTAACCCTTCATCAAAATTATCAATGTCCATAGTTCTTTCACAAGTTTTTACAGGTTTTATCATCCATATATCTTAAAACAGTCATTTTCTTAAATCTGTTTTCAGATTGTTTTGATATGTTTCGTGCATAGAAAATCACATCATGACCTCATCCATTCCATACCAAAAAAAAGCATCAAAATTAAAAAACAAAACAACAAACCATAATAAAGACAATTTCCTCACCTTTAATAATCCTATCTTAATAATCCATAAATCCAATAAAGGCATTATTAGAATTATGTTAGTAGTAAATGTCTTCAATAATTATTAATTTAAAATGAAATGCTTGTATTCCTATGATCCTACCTTACCTCGGTCTTCATCTATATCTTCCTGTATTTCTTCAACTGGTTTCTCTAATATTGTATCTATACTATCTTCATCTAAATATTCATCAAAGTCATTCATAAAATAAATCTCTGTATAACTAAATTCATGTTCTCCATATTCCTTTTCTGGGAGTTTTGCCACTAATGGAACCTCAATATCAAGTTTAACTCTATAATTTAAATCATCTTCTACTTCTTCATAAATTAAAGATAATAATTCTTCTTGTTCTTCTGTTATTATGTCTTCTATACTTTTCAAACTAAATGGCACTCCCTCTCTCACAATACAGTATTCAATTATATATATATTTTTTCTTGATTTCAAATGTCTTATTTTCGAAGTCTTGAAATCTTATATTTGTTTTGTATTCTCTTTAATGCCTCAATATGATTATACTTAATTTTCAAATATTTAGGGTCTCCAATTTTATAAGAAGCAATTTTACTCAACACATCAACAGGTAAATCCTTCACACAATCCATCCTACTAATATACTTAAATAACTATTCTTTAAGTATATATTCAAAGATTAAAATAAGGCATTCTTTAAAAAAAAACACTTAAAGATAAATTGACTGAATAAAATATATAATATTATATGATGAAAAAAAGTTATAGACTATCTATTGAGTAACGATTTAGCAGAAATACCAAAAAGAGGAAGAAAAGAATTAAAGTCAATAATAATAGATGATAAGAAATTCAGATACAACAAAGACAAACCCATATCAAATGTGTTAACAAAGAAATTATTATCAGTAAAGAAAACTAATGAATACAGAAGTTATGCTTTAAACAAGGCAAAGGGTGCTTTCAATGAAGGGAGAGTAAGACAAATCCTGACTAAACACGCAATAAGAAACAAATTCAGGGTCAGAGATATTCAATCAGCATTTAGAAGATATGCTAATTCAATCGTTTTAGAAAATAAAACACTTTGAAGGGGAAAGAGGTTTAGAAATGATTGCGCACCAAAAACAAAGACTATTAGAATTTCTGAAAAAGAATAGAAGCATGAAACTTAACATAAGAACGGAAGGGTTGTTTGAAAAACCTGAGTATGATGATGGAGGAAATGAAATTGGCAGTCAGGAACTTGTATATGCTTTACCTTCAACACGCTTTAATATTAGTAATGAAGATGAATTGACACAAGCATTAGAAGATAGTGCTAAACAAATCTTATTACAAATGCAAAATTTAGAAGCATCAACCTCTAATTTACGCTTTAAAAAGGTTTTATCAATAACCATCCATTATGACAAATATGACCCAACAAGGGCAGGGAGATACATAGAACTACCAGAATGGATTAAATTAAAAAGGGCATGTATCAACATTAAAAACAAAGACCAAAAATGTTTTAGATATTGTATTCAATCGGTAGTCTTTGACAAAATAAGCAAACATCACCCAGAAGAAATGTTTCACCGCAATAAATTAAAAGATGGTATTTTGAACTGGGATGGTGTAAATTTTCCGACTGGTAATAGGGACATAGACAGATTTGAAGAGAACAATAAATTAGTGTCAATAAATGTTTTTGAACCTGATGACTGCTTAAATGATTAAAAAAAAACATATTACATAGAGGCACTAAAAATAGAAATGCTAAGTATGAGATTGATTTGTTAAAGGTCTATGGTGAAGACAATAATTATCACTACGCCTTGGTTAGGAACAAAAACAGATTATTAAACTGTCAAAGCAACAAGGATGATAGTAAAAAACATTATTGCCATCATTGTTTAAATCCTTTCTCAACAGAAAAGGCATATAAGAACCATCTTGAAAAGGGATGTATGGCATCAGAAGGACAACAAACAAAGATGCCTGATAAAGACGCTTATATAGAATTTGAAAAGCATAATACTAAATTGCCTTGTCCTTTTGTAATCTATGGTGATTTTGAATGTCTAACCACTTACTCTAATACTGGCATAAAAGGCACATATCAAGAACATAAACCGTGCGGTTATATGTTAAATGTAGTAAGCAGGATTGGTAATACTTGCCAACCATACTTATACAGAGGTGAGGATTGTATGAAACAGTTTGTAGAAAAACTGACTGAAATTAAGAAAGATATATTTGAAAAAATGAATATGAATAAACCAATGGATGACTTAACAAACGAACAAAAATTAGAGCTTAAATTAGCATCTAATTGCTCCATTTGTGGTAAGAAATTTGAACCTGATGATGAAAAAGTTAGAGACCACTGCCACTTCACGGGCAAATACAGAGGCGCAGCGCATGTAAAGTGTAATCTGGATTATTCATTCAGATATTTTAAAATCCCTATCTTCTTTCATAATCTCAGAAACTATGACGCTCACTTAGTCATTGCCAGAGCAAATGAACTAAACATAGAACTAAACCAAAACAAAAGAATAGATGTAATAGCACAAAACAGCGAAAGTTCATAACCTTTTCATTTGGCGCTTGTCAGTTTAAAGACAGTTTTGCTTTCTTGACTGCTTCATTAGATAAGTTAGTTAGATTAAACAAATATGAAGGAAATGAAAAGATTAAAGATTGGGAAACTCGTTTCAGATATACAAGCACCAACCCGTATATCAAATCTAAAACTGATTTGAATTTGCTGACTGATAAGGGTGCATATCCCTATGACTATATGAACTCATGGGATAAATTTGATGAAATAAAGCTACCAAAGAAAGAAGACTTTTATAGTCAATTATACGAAGAAAACATAACTGACAAAGACTACGCCAGAGCAAATATTGTATGGAGACATTTTAACATAAAAAATCTTGGTGAATATCATGATTTGTATTTGATGACTGATGTATATTTACTGACTGATGTTTTTGAAAATTTTAGGGATATGTGTTTGAACTATTATGGATTAGACCCAGCATATTATATCACTTTACCTAACTATTCTTGGAATGCCTTTTTATCACTAACAGGAGTTAGACTTCAACAAATACACATAAAAGAAATGTATGAGATGATTGAACATGGATTAAGAGGAGGAATGACACAGTGCTCCTTCAAGAAAGTAGAAGCAAACAATAAATACATGAATGAAGATTATGACAAATCTAAACCTTCATCGTACATAAGTTATTTGGATGCTAATAATCCTTACGGATTAGCAATGTGTAAGAAACTTCCCTATGATTATTTTAAATGGCATTACGGTAGAATGGATGAAAAGAGAGTAATGAAATATTGTGATGATGATGACATAGGATACATATTAGAAGTTGATTTAGATTATCCAAAGGAACTTCATGATTTACATAAAGACTACCCACTAGCACCTGAAATCATGTGTATCAATGAGAGTATGCTTTCACAAGTCCAAAAGGATATACACAAATACTATTATGGAAAAGATGCCAGTGATGAGAAGACAAATAAGTTAGTATTAAATGTGATGGATAAAAAGAAGTATGTTTTACACATATCAGCATTGAAATGTTATTTACAACAAGGATTAAGTCTTGGAAAAGTCCATAGAGCAATAAGTTTTAAACAAGCAAACTTCTTAAAACCATTCATTGAATTCAACACTGAAAAGAGAAAGAATGCCAAAAATGATTTTGAAAAAGATTTGTTTAAGTCAATGAACAACAGTGTATATGGTAAGACCATGGAGAATGTAAGAAAGCATGGTGATTTTGAAATTGTCAATGCGCCTGAACGCTTCCAAAAACTGGTAAATAAACCGCTATTCAAGCACAGGTATATCATAAATGAAGACCTTGTAATTGTTGAAAAAGATAAACACATAGTGGAACTAAACAAACCTATCTACACGGGTATGTCTATTTTAGACTATTCTAAAATTCACATGTATTCCTTCTATTATGATGTGTTAAAACCAAAATATGATGATAAAATCAAGTTGGTCTATACTGATGCTGATAGTTATGTAATCAAAGTTGAGACTGATGATTTATATGAAGACTTTGAGGAGATAAATGAATACATGGATTTCAGTGATTATCCAGCAGAACATCCAAATCATGATAAATCAAACAAGAAGGTCTTAGGGAAATTCAAGGATGAAATGAACGGTAAAATAATTACTCACTTTATAGGATTGAAACCGAAGGCATATTGTTATAAAGTGTATGGTGACGAGAAAGAACACAAGAAAAGTAAAGGAGTAGCCAAACATAAGTGAGCAATCAGTTAAGTTACAAAACCAATGACGAGACATTGAATAGAAACTGTAAAGAAGAAGTCAGTTTCAACACTATCAGAAGTAAGAACCATCAAATCTATAGCATTAATCAGACTAAGTATGCTTTAAGCAACTACGATAATAAACGCTACTGGCTTTCAGATTTTGAAAGTCTCCCGTTTGGACATTATGCCATAAAATAGCTACACAACGAAAAGATGGTTTAAGATGTATGGATATAAAAAAGATGTAAACAGATATGAAACGGACAAAACCATAAGATAGTTTATGTTGGTTAAAATAGTTGCTACATCGGTTCAACAACTGAAAAACTGAGTCAAAGAATGGCAAGACATAGAAGAGATTATAAATCTTATCTATATACACAATACAAATCCCCAAAAACACCATATTAACTCTATGAAATCGTTTGATGAGTTCGGTGTTGAAAACTGTAAAATGGTTCTTATGGAAGAACGCCCATGCCAAAACAGAAAGCAACTCAAAAACAGAGCACGACCAACCAGTATTATTTCATATTTTCGTTCACTCCACTGACTTCTAGTTTCTTTCCTTGATACATAGTTGCCCTTTCCTTTATCAAATATCCTAACATAATCTCCTTCGCTTATGTTTGGGTATTTTCTGTTGTGCTTTTCTTTCAGTACCAGATTCGTTCTGACCTGAATTACGTTGTCAAGATTGTGCGCGTTGTTTGGTGTTGTCTTGGTGCTACTGTGGACTTGGTTGTTGTATCTATTCAACGAGGGCTTTAGCACTTCCACCCATGTTTTGGCTTTGTAATGCCTCAATCTGTCCCCAATCATTTTTTGGACGGTGCGTATCATCCTTTCTGCCTGATTTGCATGCGTCTTTGTTATTACATGATGCATTTGTTATACCTTCCTCCTTAAAGAATGTTTGCAGTTTCTTGCTGTTCAACGCTCCTTCGTCGTCGCTGTAAATCGACAAAGGCTGACCTAATACCTTGAAACACTCCATGACTGCTTTATAAACGTCATCACCATCTTTATTCTCGATAGGGGCTATGTGACATTTTTTGCTGAAAATATCTATGCATATCCGCCGACCCCGGCCAACGCAAGGGGGAGTGCGTCAGGGCAGAGAGGTTGCGAACACAAAAACCATCCACAACAACAACAACAACAACAACCATCATTTTCTATGGGTTTCAGAAGTTACGTTAGGCATTTTCGGGGTTATCCGGGGACCAGCAGCAGCAGCAGCAAAAGCGTCCAGCAGCAGGAGGAAAAGGTAGCCAACTTCATTCATTTTCTATAGGTTTCAGAAGTTACGTTAGGCATTTAACGAAGTTGCCATTCTGTTCGAGGGCACATGCGACCGTTCGCTTGCTTGTGCTTGCTTTGGATTCGTCCTGATTTTTTGGTGCTGCGGATGCAAGATCCACACGTCGGGCAAGTGTGTACATAGTGCAGTGTAGGCCGAACAAACCCATTAATCTGTCCGCCGACCCCGGCTGACGCAAGGGGGGGCGCGCAAGGGAAAAAGAGGTACTGCACTGCTACTGCTACTACTACTACTACTACTACTCTGCTACTACTACTACTACTACTACGACGACGACGACGACGACGAGGACGACGACGATTGTACAAACAATGGTACAAAAACTGGTGCAGCAGCAGCAACAGGAGCAGCAGGAGGGTTCTATGTCTCATTGTACAACCAGTGGTATAAAAACTGGTCGAAAATTATTGTTTTTCTAGGTTTTCAGAAGGGACGTTAGGCAGTTTTTGGGCTCGATTCTGGCGCCGTTCCGTCCTTCAGGGCCACTGTGTTTCCCTGTCCTAGCCGGGGAATAGGCTCAGTGTTGCCTGCGGCGGGAGGGTATCGTTGCTTGTGCCATTGGAAAACTGGTGCGGCCGTTGATCCTGCAGGGTTTGGACATTGGTTGGTAAGTCAGGGACTTTTACATCATCTTCAAGGTTGACATCAAGGTGATAGGATCAGGGATCCATCAACATTCCTCCCTACCAATCCCAATTGGAGAATATATATATGTATATATATATATATAGCAACCCCCAAAAAGATCGAAAAGTCAAATATGGTACTATCTTTCTCCAAAATAGTGAAGTATATGGCACCTCTGTCTTTTTGGCGGCGCAACCGTCCTCGCAATATAAGGTCTCACAGCACTCCAAAAAGGTGCTCCCTCTCAGCTCTCCCTGATCGATGGTGCTCCCGGGCCCCAGATACGTTCAGAGGGAAAATTAAATTGATAAAGAAATAAATTTGTAAAATTATCATAAATATTCATAAATATCATTAAATCTCCATGAATTACATTCTACAAACTGGTGAAAAAAAATTACCCAGAAATAGTGAATGGTGGGAGGTGTTGGCCCATGCAAGTTGGTGGAACCTTGCGAATCCGATCCACACGTTTTCTGTGCTGAGATCCACAGGTGATAGCTGGTGTCATTGCATTGATACACCATAGCTGGTCTGCCATAGCTATGATGATCTATGAATCACTGAGGCCTATGAAACACCCCGAACTGTTCGTTTGCCAACAAGAATCAGCCCATCATATCCATCGCGCCTTCTTTTCCTTGTCTGACCAATAGGGGCTGCTGGTGCAATTGAAGCTTTTGCAGCTCTTGTCTTCGCAGCATTCTTCATCCTGGGTAAAATAAAACTGTCCTCACCTTCTGCACCGCTGGTTGACAATGGTTCCCATATGGACTGCAATAGGCACCATGAAGATCCATTAAGCCATTTGAAAAATCACTCTAAACAGCCAACCAGCAGGGTTGAACGGGCTGTGTTCAGCTCTTGAAGTCTCAAAGCTGCTTGGAACTCAAGCCAATATGCAGAAAAACCCTGCAGTTTTTCCTTAGAATCAGCACTACACTCCAGCTCTACAAGGCAATTCAAAACAGCTCGGTATCCCGCATTGCCGTGATGTCTCAATACTCTTCAGGCATGGCGCATATTGAAGCCCAATGCGACGACCGCGAGTCGTGGTCTCTGAACAAAGATATTCAGTGCCTCGATGGTCAGGTTCCCAAGAGCTCAGCAGGGTGGTTGACCGCAGCTCAACTTAACCCGGTCTGCTTCTTGCGGAGTTTTACTGTAAAACATCCCATTTGGACTTAGGTTCATGCTGTAGATACCGGTGCCAATCAGCTGTTTAGACTTAGATTCCAAGATACCCTCCGGCAATCAAACATGGCTAGCCGTGAAATCGATGAAACCATTGCACTTCAATGGGAAATTCATCAGTTCTGAATAAATGGTCGATGTTCCAACTAGCCATGGAGCTGACACCATTTTGGGTATCGTCCATGATTCCAAAAACAAAACGCTTCGCCATAGAGTAACGGTTAAGGCGAATCTTCACCTCTTCACCACAGGGGCTGAGACGAGACGCAGAGCCGCGGCTCGCAACACTCTGCAGGGGTGCTGCCCAAAAGCCCTGTGGTGATCATCGACTGTTGCTGGAGCGTTGGGTCATGTTGTCACTATGTGTATGTATATTATATGTATATAATAATATATGTATATATATATAGTATACAGTACACGTCATGTATTGACAGAGGGGGAGAGAGAGAGAGAGAACTCAGGTGTATGATATAATAAGTACATATTAATATAGTGTATGGTGTTTGGATGATATTATATATATATATATATATATTATTTATCTATTTATGTATTTACTTATTTATCTACCGTGTTGGGCACCAAGTGTCCCAAACCCCAAACACAAATCTTTTTTCACTGTCCTTTTCACTGTCACCTGGAGTAGTGGATCATGTTTTCTTGCCTCCGGAAGTCTAGATCTCGTGAGGTACATTGCTTCTTCCGCAACAGAATCTCTCAAGCATGGCAATGTACTGATTTGTGTGTGTGTGTCATGCACTCGCGAAATGAGTGCGCAATGTTCATGTCAATGCGAAACGAAGAGAAACCATCCGCAGAAACCACGAAACAACAAAAAACGACGTGGTTTCGAGTTTCGAGCCAACATGATTCCATCATCTCATGCTAACCATCCGCGTCCCCGTTGCCTGAGCCAAGTTTTGGTTTCCAGCCACCTTTGCACACCTCTTCGGTGCAAGGCTGGGGGGTGCAGCAGCGCTCTTCAGTGCTTCCTTGGGATGGTGAAACATGTTGAAACCACAACTCCTTGTTGCAGCTTGATACATATACAATCAATGGAAATTCCAGGCCATATTTTCTGGGGATATTCCCTGAAATTTAGGCCTTAAAAAAAGGCATTATATATGTTCAAACACTTCCAATTGTGGACAAACGTCAAAATGGGCAGAAGTTCCGACTGCAGTTTAGAGACCTGGCAACGTCTCCCAATCTTTGGACTTCCTCAGCGCTCAATCATTTCTTGGGGAGCAGAAGTGCAGGGGTTTATGATGATTTTGGGGGCTCGCACTGTCCTACAAAGTGGGGCCCCCTAGATAGCTAAGTTGGTTTATAACTCCAATAACTATGGTTTAGGGTACTTATAACTATAGTTACTGGGGCATACAAACCAACTTATAACTAGGGGGCTCGCACTGTCCTATGTATTCATATTCAAGGGGGATTAATCCATGAGCGAATCGGAGATCCCAACCAAGGTGCCTCGGTGCCACCAAGCGGCACATATTTGGTGCTGTTGCAAGGCTGCGTGTCTTTGCACATCAAAGGGATGCAGCAATCCTGTCCAGTCATGTCCAGTCCAACCCCGGAAAATTAGCCCCCATTTCGGTGTCATCTTTGATACTACGCTCCCAAAACCGCTGTGTTTTTTCGGAAATCCCTAGGGAAAAAGGAAAAAGCACCAACAAACTGGAGAACAAACTGGAGTCTTCACCCGCCTCGCGAGTGTTTCCCGGAGTTTCTGGATCCTCCACCTTGGAGCTGGAATATCTCGTGGTTTTCCGCACCCTCTGAGAATTTTGCCCAGGCACGGGTTTGAAGTCGCTAATGGGCAGACATTCCTTGAAGGATCCGCAGGTCTTAGGCCTGGATCGGGGACTGGGGCCAAGGACCACTGAGGCGACTGGCGACCGGCCTAAGGCACAAGTTCGTCAGGATCACATCGTGGTCTGTCACCACAGCATCCTGGCTCGTGGACCGGGGTTGAAGCTGTTCCCATGCCCAGCCTACCTGGTAGTGTTGTCTCGCTTGAAAGGAAGCTCGATTTCCAGGGCTCAACAAGGTCAAGTAAGTCGGGGGACTGCAAAGCCCCAAACCGTATTTGTCAAGATGTGCGGCAAAGGAAAGCACTGTTTCATCCTGAGACAGTACTAAACATGATTGGCCTATGGATCAATCCCTGGTACCCAAAATATAACTCATTAGCTGGCAATATTTGATGTGCATAACCCAACTATGATGATCTGGTTGGTGGTTTCAACCCCTCTGAAAAATATTAGTCAATGGGAAGGATTATCCCTTTTTTATTATTGGAAAAAAAAAAAACATGTTCCAAACATTTCCAAACCACCAACCAGTGATTCCGTTCTTGGCTCTCCATCCCCATCCCCGTGGCGAGGCCTTGCCACGGTACTCAAAGCCACTCTCATTGGCCAAGGATTTCACCTCAAATGAGCGACTGGTCCGAAAAACCGAACCATTCGGCAACATCATGTTGGGTTGATCTGAAAATAAAGTACCCAGTAAAAAAAAAAAACTATAGGTTCATCACTACCTAGGAAATCATGGTATATCTATACGTAATATATGGGGATGGGTCAAAAGCCTGGTACCTAGTGAACCCCAAAATAGCTGGTAAATGGATGTTCATCCCACTAAAATGTATCTATAGGATTCTATAGGTATTGACCCATACCGATACCCATATCTTAATATCTACTTTATTATACACTTTTAAATGGTCATTCTAAGCTGATCCAGTTCGCCAGTTCAACTCGATGCCGAAAACCTGCAAGAACCAAGCTGCCGTGTCCGTGGCATACAGAACCTCATCCACCACACCTCAGAGAGGTCAGCGCTCAGCTCCGGACATTGGACTGGGACTGGGGTGATCCAATGGAATTCTGACGATATCTGCCAGATATCTGCCGAGCTATCAGCTATCCATTGTTCTTTATTCTACTACAGATCATCCAAATTTCAACACATCTGATGATATCCGCCCGCCTCCTGGCACTGTCAGCGTCAAAAAGCCGTGGCCCCCTCCAGTGAAGGCATAGGTCACAGGATCTTGCCTCCATTCAGAGTGGCAGCTCAAAGATCACCCTAATCCAAAAAAAAATGGAAAAAAAAACAAAAAAAAAATGGGAATCCAATCCAATGCTCTCCCCAACCTCCCCAACCTCCCCATTTTTGGCTTTCGATCGCCTCATAGAGTTGGCGGTCATGGAGAGTTCCCAGCTCTTGCCGACGATCCAGAACTGGGAGGCCTAAGAATCACCGGCTGCGTCTACCTGGGGTATCCTGGGCTTATTGGCTTATCCAACTTTTGTAGCCAGGACACCAAGAAAATGATGGAGCCTTTTTTTGCCCAGAAAAAAAAAGATGAAGCAGTTGCTGCAGAGCTTCACCTCACCCTGAAAATTCCGCCTACGATTTTTGACCCATCAAAAAGTTGATCATAAAAAACCTGGCCACGGAAAATGAAGCATTTACCATCTGGTTATGACTCACATAGCCATGGAAAATCACCATTTTTAATAGGTAAACCATCTATAAATGGGCCATTTTCCATGGCAAATTGTAGGAAAAGCTATGGACGGCCATCATAAAAGACATCTGTCACAGTGTCTTTAGTTTCCTACGATTCGCCACGATGTGTCATTTGGATATGGATCAAACATGGAATACCTATGATTCGACCGTTCGAAAAGGCCGCGAAACACGGGATTCCCACTTCAAAAGGATTGGGAAAATCTGAAAATCCATTGGGTATAACATTGTATAACTGTATAACATTGAAAAACATTGTATAACCGTTATAAACCCCCTATCAACCACCAGGGGTTTACCGGTTTACCATCCTACTTTCGACCTGCGGCGCCTCCAGTGCCGCACGGAGCTTGTCTGCATCCTGAGGCGCCCTCCCATTTTTTGGCATCTGGCTGGTGAAAAAAGAAAACTGGGGGACCCCAACATCATCAACATCATCAACATCCACTGGATCCAAGACTTCTAAACACCCTCATTTTCCTATGAAATCTGCGGGGATCTACGGTTTTTTATCGTAGAAGCTCAAGCCAGACACTGGGTCTCCAGCGATGACATCCGAGAACTGCGCTTTTCCCAGGGTTTTGTGAGGACCAGCTGCCAGGTCGGCAGGCAGAACGTTGCCTCCAGGTGGGATCCCTGGACAGAATCGTCGGACCCAAGCCCCTAAGGAATTCTCTTCGCAGGGTCATGATGTTAGTTGGATAGTAAATCCATGTAAATCCCAGTAAATCTTGGTTGATAGGGATTTCAATGTGTCCTCATTAGCTACTCAGCTACATCATGCTACATCCCCTGAGCGTGTCCACGATCGGCCTTTGCATGAAGCAGCATCTTGGGAGGCCTCAACATAGGCAATCCACCAAGTTGTTTTACTGCTGTTTGCAACTTTCAAATACAAAGTCCAACATGATCGCTACAGGTTGCAAGAAATCCTTTCACCATCCTGTTGCGAGAAACAAAAAAATGTCAATTCACGCTAGTGCTAGAGCTGCTAGGTGGTGCCTGGAATGGACAGGTCGGATCTTGGGATCTACGTATCTTGAGAGACTCCCATAGCAAATTACCTCGAGCTTTTCAGGCTGAACATCATTTTCCCCACATTTTTTGGCCATTCAAAGTAGGTGTCAATCCCCCCTTCGCCATTGGTTTCCAGATTGAAATTGACCAGTAAGTTTAAGAGGTCTTTTTCAAGAAGCCCCTATGTCACCATATATCACCAATCAATCCTTGAACAGAAAAGAAACTACATGTGTATGTGTATATATATATATATATGTAAAGCTACATGTCATGTATATATATAGTGTATTTATATGCATATACATATATTATGCCATGTAGGTATGCCATAAACCCGGGAAAATTAACACAATCTGCCAGGTTGCCACGTGCGCGCGCTGCGCGCGCAGCGCGAATTTGGCCGCCAGCACAGCATCCAGCAGCACCAGGGCCAGAAGCTGAGCGTGGCATTGGCAAAACTAAAAAAACATAAATGATGGTGATTGTGGTAATTATGGTGATTATCGTGATTTTCGCGATTATGGTGAATCCCATTTTGTACTCAATCATAATTACCCTCTGGTAATTTAACATAGCTATAGAAAATCACCATTTTTCATGGGAAAATCCACTATTTCTATGGTCATTTTCAATAGCTATGTTAAATTACCAGAGGGTAAATGATGGTCATAATATGCTGATGCAGTAAGGTTCAGGAACCGAACCGGAACCGTGGAACCGAACCGTAGAAAATCAAATAGCCTATGAACCGTAGGAACCGTGAACCGCTGGAACCGTGTGCAAAACCGAACCGGAGGAACCGGAACCGTCTTGCCCTCCCCCAATAAACTGATTGGAAAAGTTGTAAATGTTGTAATTGTTTTTTGAGTTCAATGAAAGAAGCAAATATGGCTTTCTTCATAATAAATTGCATGCACTGGCAATTTCAGGAAGCTTTGGTTTTCCGAGTTCAGCTCTCTCCGCTCTTTGAAAGCCGCGGCTCATGAAACCTCTTGCGGGAAGCAATAAACCTCTTGCAGGAAGCAATCTGTATTTGCTTTTCCGGCGCCGGAAAAAAAGCAAATATCAATGTAGAATGTTCCAAACACCGAACCGAACCGAACCGAAATCGACCAGGAACCGCAGGAACCGAAACCGAACATGAACCGAACCGGGCCTATAGCAAATACTAGAAACCGAATTCGAACCGAAACCACACTGCTTATCATGTCTGTATCTATCAATCTATCCATCCATCCATCCATCCATCCATCCATCAATATATATGTATATATATTATATATCTATCTATATATATATATACATGTCTGTATCTATCAATCTATCCATCCATCCATTGATCCATCTATCCATCCATCCATCTGTCTGTCTGTCTGTTTGCCTGCCTGCCTGTATGCATGCATGCATGTATGCATGTATGTAGGTATATAGGTATATACGATTATATAGGTATGAAAAAAGGGACATCGAGAATAACACATGCGCACACAGCCAAGAAAAAGCAAAGTGGGATTGCCATCATGACCAATTAAACCCGCAAGACAATGTGCTTTTAGTTCAGTCCGATGCTAAATGCTATCCAGAAAAGTAGATCCAAACGAAATGTAAGATATTGTTCGAAAGCATCTATTGCAATGGGGAACATGATCCTGAAGGAGTTTGAAACCCTCCGCGGCCAATTTTTCACAGCGACCAAAGTCTCAGGGGACAAAAACACAGCTTACAAATCGGGAAAAAAAGTTGAGGACAAAAAATAAAATATCCAACTATCCAACTCCATCCTCAAAATCAAAGAACTTCACAAAGCAGCCCGTGATGTGCCCTGTCGGGTCACTCTTATGTTCGTCGCTGGCCTTCATTGTCGGCGAGGATCCCTCTCAGCCCCACGGGGAGCCGAAGAGAACTGCGGAGGTCCAGCGACAGTTGGGTTGTGAAAAATTCGAGATCCATTGGTCAAAACATGTCAGACCCACAAGCTTTGGCCAATTTCACCCATACCCAGCTTGCATTGGTTTGATAAGCCATTTACTCAGGTTTACCGGTTTGCAACAGCAGCCTTGTGGCACACTCCGATGTCCTCATGAAGTTTCTGTGTGGCTACTGCAAAAGCTATCAAATTTCATGATGCTTTCAGGGCAATAACGTGAATAAACCCTGGTTCACTCATTGGGGTTACCCCCAAAAATTGGGGTTACCCCAAAAAAGCCGAATGAATGCTAGAAATTTAACCCCCAATTCCAATCAACCAGGGTTTATTTGTCCTGGTTTAACATCATGCGAAAAATGCATTGAACTGCTTGTAAAAGTGATTTCACCATCCCTCAAATGTTGACAGATGTTCTTTCTGCCTAGGTGGTACCATGGCAAAGGATTTCCAGCATCAAACTACCCGAGATGTATCCAGATCACAAAAGTCATACTGTGGACGGAAATCCCGCACTTTATTTGTAGATGGGCAAAATCCATCTATGAAAGCCCATGGTTTACAGTGTTTCATAGGAATCCCAATAGTTACTAACTGCTGCAGGATTTCCACAACATCATCCCCAAGTTGATCCCCATGTCCCCTGAGAGCACAGGCCAACTTCTCCAGGATATCCGCTCGCATCGTCCCTCTTGAACGATCCTGGCACAGGGAAGGCATCTGATCTAATCCAAGTGTAATTAATCATAATTTTGCTCATTTGAACCTCAAACCATCCCATCGTATCTTACCATATCAATATAGATATAGATGTAGACACAGATATAGATATGATATTGATATATATATACATAGACGTTAGATATTAGATAATAGATGTTAGATGTTAGATATTAGATCTTGGATAATAGACATTAGATATTGGATATTAGATATAGATATAGATAGAGATGTAAATATAGATATAGATAAAGGTATGGTACAGACGTGGGCATAGACGCATGCATAGACGTAGACATTGACATAGACACAGATATAGATATAGAGATAGATATTGATATTGATATTGATATTGATATTGATATTGATATTGATATTGATATTGATATTGATATTGATATTGATATTGATATTGATATTGATATTGATATTGATATATGTATATTTAGATATGTGGTTTATACTGTTTCACCAAGCTGAAAAAGGATCGTTTTGGGCGACCTCCCTTTCTAACGTCCAGTGGCAACGTGGTCCTCTGCCAGGCAGCAAGACACCAGCATGGCATGAGGTCTCAAGCCGTACCCCTGGAGACCATTGCTGTCACGGTAGATCAACATTGTGGGTAGCCAAGATATTTTTGAGGTCCAAACTATAACTAAACATTTAAAGAATGAAAAATAAAGAAGATATCCTTGGATATGTAAAAACCATTCAAAACCCATTATATACCATGTGAACATAGTTATATACCATATCCACTTCAGGTCCATTCCTGGGTAACCTGGGTAACCTGGGTGACGGGATTGGGGATTCATTCGCTTAAATGATGACCCTTGGCTAAAAAAAATCGCCGTCTGGATCTGAAAAAAAAAATGGTTATGGGTCAAAACCCTGGGGGCCCCTAGGTATTCTAAAATAGCTGGTGGATGGTTATTCCCCCTTAAATATGGTAATAATAGGTATTGACCCATCCCCAAATATCAATAGGCTGTGTTGATCCGTGTTGTGTCATTGAGATTCACACTCACTCTGAAGCATCAATCTCACATCGACTACTTTCCGTTGCAAGAAAATCATGCCCTTTGTCTAGTGTTGGGTGGAAGAACTTCAACATCCCTTGGTTTTAGATCATGTCCACAGCATTTCCCACAACAACTCAACATTCACCCTGGCAGGGACCCCGGCCATCGAGAAAAGCTTTTGTACAACCTCAGACAATGCCCGTCACAACAAAGTGGTAGGAAACACAATTTTCTCATCCATCAAATGGGGCTTTTTCTCCTAACCGTTCAGAGAAACCCATACACAACAGGGCAACAAGCTAGGTCCCCTCGAATCTCTCCATTGTGAGCTCAAGATCGACTCAGTTTTCTCAGTGGATTCATGGTTTCTTTTAGTTTAACAAGAAACCCAGCTCTTTTATGATCTAGTTCTGGGGGGTCCTGTTCCTTGTTCCTCAGGCCAATTCTAGTTATTCCAGAAATCCTAAAAGAATGCATGGTTCTTTGCGCTCAAATCCTAAATCGTGCTGGAAAATCCACCACCTCCACCAACTATTCGATGATTTTCCCAGCCATAAAGCTCCATTTATCATGGCTTTTCCGCTAGTTTCCCATGATTCCAGCTAGAAACCTCAGTAAATCACATCTCTTTGAGTTGCCCCGCAGTGTAATCTTCCATCTCGGCCAACTCAAAGAGCACCTGCCAGGGAACCGACGTTTTCTGCTGTCATGGCCGATATGTCTATGGTTTTTTATGTATATTCTATGTATAATATATAATATGTATATATATAATCATATATATATACATAATCATATAATATGTATGTGTATATATATATATATGTGTGTGTATGTGTGTATGTATGTATGTATGTATGTATGTATGTATGTATGTATCAATGTATCAATCAATGTATGTATCAATGTATGTATCAATGTATGTATCAATGTATGTATCAATGTATGTATCAATGTATGTATCAATGTATGTATCAATGTATGTATCAATGTATGTATCAATGTATGTATCAATGTATGTATCAATGTATGTATGTATGTATATATATATGTACATATATGTATATATATACAGTATATATATATGCATATATATATATGTATATACATATATATATACATATATATATAATCATACATCCACCTGGCCTGGTTTGGTCTGG